GCGTCCTCTGAGATTATTCGTTGATATTTTCCCCCAAAGGCTTTGTTTTGCAGGAATTACTGAAGGGAGCAGTATTCTGTGCTACCGATTCGCTATTTGCTGGCCCTTAGAATTCTGCTATCGTTGATATGTTTCTGCTTGACAAGGTGCGAAATGGGTGGCAAGGAGCTCATGTAGAATATGAAGAAGCTCTAACTGGCGATTCTCTGGCTTAAGCTGCTTGGCGTTGCCCAGTTGCAATCTGAAAGCATGGAGGCAAAGTGACAGAGGCGCAACTACTTTGGCCTACCATTTCAGATCCACGTTGCCTAACGTACCAGAAAAAGTATTTGAAGGCCTGGTAACGCAGGATATAAAATCCCACAGTCCATGCAATTAAAACCATTTCGCAGTCCCTCTGCTCAAGTCAAGTCCTACTGGCATAAATACATAGATGTATACTTGTTGAACTGGATTCTGCCAGTCTTATGTTTTATATGGTGCGTTCCAGCATTCTTTTGGGCCGTGAATACCCTAACAAATGCACTATCTTTGCGTAGGTTTATATATCTGTTCCTAATGTATACTAACAGTCAGAGGGCTAGGAGATTTTCCTCGTGCTTTGTTGCAAAAAGAAAAGGGAATTAGACATTATGCATGTCTCATTGTGCCTTTACTTCGTGCCTACAAAGAAATGAGCAAAAATTCATATGTTGACTATTTGAGAGTAGATAGACGAAGCAAACAAGGTGCTCCTTTTGTCAACGTCGGGAGAAAAGAACTGCATTATGAAGTGCGCTCAAATAAGTTGCTGATTTGCATGTGTATAGTCTACTCTCTAATAGTCATTCATATGCAATGTGGGCGGTACTTCAGGTTTGTATAGTCACTACAGCATGTCGTCGGCCACCTGTGTACAAAGAAAGCTCTTTTTTGATTACAGGTGGTGTACTGGGACGCCAACCAAGTTTTTCTTCTCTGCGGATGACTGACCACGCTAATCTGCAGCAGGACGCAGCAGCTCGGTTGAACGGCGAGAATAACCTTGATAGAATGCAGACTTGGATGCGTTTAGTATATTACATTTTGCACTTCGGTATTCCAGCGCTACCTTACTAAGTGACCGGTGATGACGCACCTCAGCCTTATGGATCCTCTCTTACCCTGCAGGTTTTGTTGGCACTTTGGGTGTCGCCAGCCTTCTAGGTACTCTAGGAGGAATATTACACGCTATGCAGCTCTGTACATATGCGCTCTGGGCCATTTCGTCGGCAGCAAGTTCGACACATCTTTCCAGGGAAACCAATCATCGGGTAAACCAACATAACTGTAAGCTGGCTCTATCAAGTGCCATCCTCTGGGCACGCATATGTACGCCTACTTCTATCAGCGTGAGCATTTCCACAAGCAATAGTTAGGTGCGACAGTCTAACTATTCTTTGTAAGTTGTTTGAATGCTAACTTGACTATATTGGTTAACCGGGGAGTGCTTCTATTCAATACGCACACAGCATGCGTCCTTTTGTGGAGTGCTAATAATGGAGGTTAGTATCACGGTATGATTCGAAATTCAAGATTCTGGTTCCACTTATATTATCGACTAGTACTGTTCTGATATGACAGCAAAGATGGTGTGCCAAGTCTCTTTCTTGGTGGCCTTTGCTCACAAAAACCCCTATGTATCTCCGCTGGCTCACAGCGTCCAGAGTCCTTGTGGTGTGCCCACACACGGGTAAATATGAACAAAACAAAGTTAGTCCAAGCGAATACAGGACATTAAAAGAGAGATCGAAAGAAAGTACGTTGGGGCAGGCCACTGTGATCGGGGCCTATTGCGCCTTTTGACTTAGAACCCTGGATGATTGCCGTATGCGCCTGGTGACGTGGCTTTTGGGAAAAACTGTTGAGCTGAACATCTGCCATCGTGTTGACATGACGCTCTGATCCTTCGAGAGCTGGCTGACTTCACTACATACTACATGGTCACAACTTTCCGTATGTAGATTGAATTCTGTAAAACCGAAAGCAAGCAAGCTGTAAGAGAGCAGTTATTTGAACACGGAAGCAGACGAAGCAAGATATTGGGGAGAGTAGTCAGAGCAGGGAGAGTCAGCATATGTTTCATAGAGGGCAGGCACCCAAATCAGCATATTTTTCGTTAGTGGGCATAGCAAAAGACATCAAGCCCTAATGAGGGAATTCATGATAGTCCAGGGACTTCACATATCTCAGCTATTATTCGTTATCGCTTGTGAAAAGCAAGTCAACATCAGAGCTTCCCCTGTCGGTCCCTCTGAACATAGACTGAACAAGTTTTGTTTCACTGCCTTCATGTTTAGCTCGAGAGAAGTAAAGTGTATCAAGCCTATGGTACTTGAGCTGAAATTTAGCCGTCGCAAATCCTCTGTCTTTGAGGGTGAACAGATGTGGATAGAGAATCAAATCAACAACGGCAGATAAAAGCGGAAGCCATCTATCCCCTGAAGCGAAGGCATGAAGACCCCACAAACTATCATCTCGCAGCAAGCGCGACACCACAGGTCCTCTGCAGGATGAGTTGGAGAAACTCTGAGAAAGCATTATGTGTAGCATGCGAATAGGGGGTCAGAGCTCATCCATAAAGGATTCTGTAATTAGAGAAAGCGGCTTGACCCCTTTAAACTTTTCCCTGTAGCCTCTGGCGGGAGCTTCCGCCGGGGCGTCCTTCTGAACATTTCTTATTCCGGGCATCAATGCTTGATCTAGCGTCTCCACCAAAAAAAAAATCTCCAGACTCATTTCAGCCTCAAGAGAACGTTTTTGAGTGTATCTCATGAAAGCTCCCTCCTCCTCCGTGCGTCTCTCAAGGTTCCGCCTTGAGGCAAGGGAGAGACGTAGGTTACTAGTAGCTCGACCGCCTAACAATCCAAGCTTTTACAGCTAGTTAAAACTACACGCACGCGACACTTCGTCTTCTTGTTGCAAGCTCGCACCACCCTGCAATACATAAGATATACGAACAGAAAAAACCGTCTTGCTACATCAGTTATTCTAATATTAGTAAAGTCTTAGAGTGCAGTGTAGATCGCTACAAGGTACATCTCAAAGTTTACATAAGTGAGTACTACAAAGGCAGGCTTTTAAAGAGAAGTGGAAACGCTTCAGCAGTATGACACGCGCATTAGCAAACGAAAGTCGCAAGGTTGTGCTACGGGCGTGAGTATATGCTGCAAGAGCGACAGATGCTTTTCCAGCACAGCACACATCAGAACTAGCAAAGGGAACAATGGAAGGTATTTCTTGCCTGTGGAGTAGGTGAGGGCTGCTCATGAGGAAAGCATGAAGGACACTGCACTGGTGTTTGGTGTCGACAAATGCCTAGGGGTTGCACGTTGTACCTGGCGTTGCGGCTGGCGCGTGGAGCTGTCCACAGGAGTTTAATTGTGAATTCAAGTAGAATTTTGTCGTTGATAATAATCGTAGAAATCATAGCGAGCACATATGCCCGCAGATATCTGTGGCTTGAATGGAAATGAAAAGAGTCCGCCAAAACTGTGCACTACATTACTGGCGTCTTTTTTACTTCAAGAATCCCTTTGTTCACCAGCGCCCTGGAAAACATTAATGTAGGTGCACATGAGCCCGCCGCCAATCCCCTCTATTCTTCAGTTGCGCACCGAACTCTGCAGATGGTTTGTCTTTCACGCCTCTCAGTTTATCCATTGTGAGCTTCGTCATCCACTAGGTACAAGGACGTTACTGATCCTACAGCACGTTTCAAAGCGTTTTCCGCTTTTCAGGCAATACTGCGCTGCCCTCGATGATTCAAGCAGCACTGGTGTGTATGATTAGTGCTGGCCACCCTGGCTGGCCACCGCTCTTCTGTCCCACCGCCCCTTATTCACCTGAGGGCATACGTGCTGCCACTTCCTTGCGGCACAAAAGACGTCCCTACGGTAAAGTTACCGTGTTAAGTGACAGACGCTGCGGCAGATCCTATAGGCGCGGCTAGCGCTCCAACTGGAATGCTGCCAAAGTGCGTTCCTTGCGGCACAAAAGACGTCCCTACGGTAAAGTTACCGTGTTAAGTGACAGACGCTGCGGCAGATCCTATAGGCGCGGCTAGCGCTCCAACTGGAATGCTGCCAAAGTGCGTTCCTTGCGGCACAAAAGACGTCCCTACGGTAAAGCTACCGTGTTAAGTGACAGACGCTGCGGCAGATCCTATAGGCGCGGCTAGCGCTCCAACTGGAATGCTGCCAAAGTGCGGAAACCTACACCTACCGACGGAGCGGTAGGCAACTAGCCAGCTGCTGCATCTGCACTCGGTCTCGCGCTTTAGTGTACATGCTTCAGCGAGAGCAGCAGCCGAACCTCGCTGTTGTCTACAGCGAACGGTTCTTGCAATTGCTAATAGAAGCACGGCAGCCGCAAAGCGGTGCATGAACTCTCTAGGCCACGCTTGCGGCGGAGGGGCACTACTGCATCAACAAAGCTACTGCATTATGGCTATTTGTACGGCTGAAGGGAAGGGGTGACAGCGCCAAGCAACCAGGAGCAGTACCACGGATATTACAACTTTGATGGGAGGATTTAGCTTAAGCATATGCAACTGCCGCTAATGACCTGCTGAAGCAGCTGCTGTAGTGAAGTGGCTGTATCGCGACGCCATAGAAGTATTTGCAATGCCGTCCCAACAAACTCTGACCAGTCCCCACAAAAGTAAAGGCCCCACACCGCTACCCACGGGCATCAGCACAGGCCTGATAGGCCGTATGCTTGTAGCAAGGCAGCAGTACTGCACTGCTGCTGCAGGAAGGCAGCAGCAGAGCCAAAGAACTGTAGTGCAGCTTCCGAAGCGTGTACTATATGCGGCGAAGGCGGATATCCGTGGCATACATGTCCCTAACTACAGCCCTTGGGCTCAGCCTCTGCAATGCTGCTCAGCACGAGCTGCCATAACATAGCAGCAGCCTGCTGCTGCTATGTTATGGCAGCTCGCGGATCCCGCCCCGCGCCGCCGTTTCCTCCGGCAGCCCCAGCTACTCCTTGGCAGCTTCCTCGAAGTTATCGACGAGATCGGGAACGTCGTCGTCTGCCTCCTCCTTCGCTTCCTTCTGCTGCTCCTTCTTGCTGAGGCTCTCCACGTGCTGCTGAAGCTGCCTGAGCATCTCGGGGTTGATAGACGCCCCCTCTAGGGCCCCTGCAGCGCCTCCCAAGAGGCCTCTCACGCCCAGGAGAGCTCCTGCGTTCGGTTTATCCTCCGCAGCTCCGGTGATCACATACGTATTGGCTGAAGGAGCGGCTTGCACTTTAGGGTTGTGGAAGTGCAAGGCCGAGCCATCGGCTCTCAGCAGGAAGACCTCTTCTACTCCGAAGATAGAGGCGGCGCCAACGCGCTTCAGGGAGAGTTGCAGCTTCTTGTCATCCCCCACCACGGACTTGTGCGTCTTCCTCGCCTTGCGGCGGGCAGTTCCCTTGCCTCCTAGCTGTTGGGATTTGGCGCAACGCTCTCGAAGTTTGGCGCGAGCGGCAAGGATCGCGGGGCTGAGCTCTTCCTCCATAGTGACCATCTGGAGGGGGGGCACAAGGGGGCTGCGGCGAGCAGAGACAAAACACCAGAATCGAAGGACGTGCAGCACACAGAAGAAGACCACCCAGTTCCCGCGTCGACCATGCGCAGCAGCTACCAAGAGATGAGATGCAACAACTCCCTCGCGGACTGCCGGCTGCTGCTGCTGATGCGTTGGCAGAGGCGTGGGGCACGCTGCTGCTGCGGCTGCTGCGGCTGCTGCGGCTGCTGCGGCTGCTGCTGCGGCTGCTGCGGCTGCTGCCAACGCACGCCTGGACCACACGTCGACTGGGCCGAGAGAAAACGGGGAAACACCTCGTACAAATCGATTAAAAACACACATTCGCTCTGCCGAATGCCTTCACAATCAAGCCATGAGACTCACACCCCCTTCTGAATGCTGCAGCAGGCGCTGCTGCCGCACCGCGTGCAGTATGAGCAAGGCACCGATATCTGCGGGTCCCCCTCTACGGGGCTTAAGACCCCTCTGCAGGCATCATGCGAAATGTTTTCACCGTTTAAGGACGACTTTAAGAAAAACGTGTAGTCTCATGGCCGAACGATTTTCGTGGCACCCGCGAAGCGCCAGGCGACGCGGGGCAGTAACAGCAGCCTCGTTGTGGGGTACTGCAAATAGCATCTAATCAATAGAAAAAAAGGGGTTTGGGAGGACTTTTCATGTGGGGCTATACCAAGGCAACGAAGCGTGCAAGACACTCTGGCCAAATGGAGATTCAAGTCGGGTACTCGCGCAAGTCCCTCCGTAACAACCAGCGCAACTGGGGTGTGCGCCCACTCCCCCTGATTCTGATGCTCCCTTCATCTTGGCCGCTTGAAACAAATCCATGGCGTCAGATCAGTGATAATATTATAGCCCCATCACAGTGGTTGCCCTACAGCCTTCACCCTCCGTGGCACCCTTAGTTCTTAGAGTCGAGCGTCCGAGGCAGGAAGCTGCAGGCGTCTGAGCGCTCTGCATAGAACGTTCCACACACAATCTTTAAGCCTCGAGCGCAACACAGGGCTTCATAACGAGTGTCTTTGCGTTGGTAAGGAGCAGTTTCCATAAGACCATTAGCCGAGGACCTCTGCTTTGGGGAGGCCATGCGACGCCAGGGCGTCGTGTCTGCATCCTTTTGAGCACTCGAACGATTCATTCACACCCACATGCACAGTCTGCCAGCTTTCACCGCGCAGAGAGGCACAGAGCAGCGAATGTTACTGAACAAACCACTGCGCAGCAACTGGCCACTGGGAGTCGAAGCACTGTTCTTCTTTGCCATCAGCCCCGCTATTTGAATCAGGGAACGGCGGTAGGAAGACGGGGGAGAGCCGGCTAAAAGCACGCCAACAGTCTCGCGAAATGCGGTGAGCGTGAATAAGTGCAGCCAATGCACACCCCGAGCGAAAACAGTGCTACTGCCGGCTGCTTCTCGCGAGTTCTAATCAAGGCAGAAATACCAACGTTTCGTAGCATTTAGGGGTGACACAAACTGCTTTACTCTATATGCAACTCAAGTTTCAACGTTCACCCCGCAGTCTGCCATTCGCTCCATCGTATCAGCGCAACGATCTATTGGCCTTACAAAGTTTCTCAAGTCCATTACCCAGTTAAAGGAGAAGTAAACACGTTTTGCGGTGTTTAACAACAGCCATACACCCCACCAGGCCATAGGTCTGCTCCTGGCTGCGCAACCATGCTGCTACAATCTAGGCACTGCATCGGCTTTGTGGCATTTACAGGCCCCTCCCGGCTGCGTGTTGTTTCACCTTTCTGGCCATGAACCTCGCTGCCCCTGCTTACTCCTCCGGCTGGCGAGCTTCGCTCATATTCTCTGCTGCCTTATCCTCGAAAGCGCGCCTGATTTCCTTCATATACTTCTTGCCCATCATCCTGTGCTGTTTGCGCTCTTCGCGCTTCGCGATCTTTTTCTTCTGCAGGATGGTGTAAGGCCTTGATCCTGGCTGCTGTGCTAGCTGTGCATTCCGCTTGAGATTCTTGGCAGCCGGATTGACGCGCAAAAGGACGGAGCGGTTGGTTAGAAGATTCTTGTGCTGCGACTTCTTGGGTGGGCCCTTAAGCATTGGCCTCACAACGCTCTGCACCTCGTCGCTGTTGATGATCCTTGCAATATCGGCATTCTGGAGCACAGGGCGTGGAAGATGGTAGCCCTTCTTGAGCGCAGCAGTGCCCACGCCATCCGTGCGACCGTACAAGAGCTGCAGACGCTTGAACGCGGAGGCGGTCCAAACGCAGAAGCGTCCGAGAGTGCCTCCAGGCGCGAGTGTCAAGACACTGAGCCTGTCGACGTGGGCAAGTTCGACGCCTGGAATGTTCCTAAAAGCTCTGCAAATGCCATCATCCGAGTTGTAGATCACCAGGGGCCCCTTCTTCAGAGTGCATCGGCGATTGCGGCCTTTGCCACGACCAGCGCGGAGCTTCTTGCTCTCCCGGATTTTCTGCAACTCCTCCGCGCATCCGAGGTGCTGCAACAGCTTCGCCGCCTCCTTCGTTTTCTTCAGGCTCTCCACTGCGTCTTCCACAACCAGAGGAAGCTCCGGAACCGCATCGATCTTGTGACCACGCGCCATCACGAGTGCTGGCAGGCCCGTGGCTGCAACTGCCGCGGCAACGGCGTGACGCTTCATCGTCACGTTCACCTTCCGATGCCAGCGCCTCCACGTCTTGTTCGGAGCGAACATGCCTCCCCCTCTGCACATGTTCCCAAAGGCAGCCTGGCCGCTTCTGTGGGTACCACCCCCCGGCACGCGAGGAATACGCGAGACGGCTCTTCCTGTACCCCAGGATTCTGCACTCGTCTGGTAGCCAGCATTGGGGGCCACTCCGTACGCCTGCCGCGAGTTCTTTGCGAGATTCGTGCAGACGAAGCGCACGAGATCAGCCCGAAGGGGGGCGCAAAAGACGGAAGGCATCAACGCGGACCCCACCGGAGTGCCCTCGGGATTGTAGATGCCCACACATGGACGCGCGGTCGCCATCTTCGCCAGGTGCTGTATTGCTGCTGGATCGCGCGGAGCCGCGAGTGCTGCGACGCACAAGAACAGGCAAGAACAGGGGGATGAGAGCACCGCATACCCCAATGCAAGTTTCGCCATGCAAGTTGAACACAGTACACCACACGCTGCAGGTTATTGCATTTCCGGCTGTCTCTGCGAGACAGCGACAAAAGGGGACCCCATTGTGAAGACAAACAGTGCACTGCTCAAAATGAAAAGGAAACGAAGTTCGTCATCGGAAGTATCTGGACCGCGTCCATGCGCCCCCGCAGCTCCAAAAGGAGAGATGCGACCGCGGGGAAAGCTACGGCTCCGAACTCGACGGCGCAACTTGATGCGGAGGAAGAGTAAAATTGTGCCTTAGCGGCAGAAAGAAAACTAAAGAACGGCAGCAAACGGATGCACACATGTGTTGACGCCGCAGCTCCCCACCCCAGCAGCAGCAGCACCGATAAGACAGCAGCGGCAGCGGCACGCGAAGCAAAAATAGCCTTACATTATCCCGGGCCAGAAAATTCCCAAATGAAAAAAGCGGTTTGAGCGGCACAGACCCTCACTCTCGATTGTTATTTCCGCCACTGCTCATGGCGCTGCTGCGAGAAACGGCCCCGCAGCCTCTCTGGGCTGGCTGCTGCTGCCACTGCTCCTGCCGCTCGCTCCCAGCAAGACTTGCGCCAACTCCGGCACACAGGTCCTTGCTCTCCTTCTTGCTTTAGCCGCCATTAGGTGTAACTGCACCACGTTTAATTCAAAGCTCAGCGCACACTATTTCCTACAGAAGTGCGCGCTCTTTGGAGCATTCAACAGGCTGCCTCGCACAGTTCTGGGTTGCACGAGAACAGCCAACGAGGGCATCGTGGCTCACAGCGGCCGCTCCCGTTTGCTTCTCAGGATTGAGAGCGCTTCTTCATCATTAGATGGCCCTTTTGCTCATTACATAAGTACGTGGTACCCATTTCCATTATCTTCCTCATCGATCAAGACCAGACAAGGGATTCACCAAGCGTTCTTGGGAACTTTCCTCAGGGGAACCCCTCGCCTCCACGCGCCGTCAGCAGTATACATATGTAAGTGCATACCCTGGAGGCGTCTGCAGAAGTGAAGGGGCAGTAGAGAGTCTTGTGCGTGCCTGCAACAAAAGGCGGGTAATGAAGTGTTTGGGGTCCTACCAGAGGCACAGTGCACTGAAAGCGCAATGAATCGTTGCAGCCATGGTGTGGTGCCCCACTTGTTGTCATTTTCTCTCGAGTTTCATTTAGCTTCTGCCCTTTTGTCCAGGATTGATGCTTTTCTCTTCATGCTGCAGGCTGCCTGAGTGCCTCTGGTGGCGTCACAGACTTCACTTCCTCTGGCAAATTGATCTACGCCAAGATGCGTTTCTCGGTGGCCTTCTTCCTGGCCACGGCTGGAATTTTTGCGGGGTGTACTGACATCGATATTGCGGCGGCAGCAGAACCGACGGACACTTCGCCAACCGAAGGAGAGAAAGTGGGCTCCGCTCCGGATGCTGCCGTGAGGCCAGAGTGCGAGGGTTGTGATGATATTGATGACTCCATCACTCCCCCAGAAGAAGAGTCTGAGAAGGATGTTCTTAATCCGAAACTGCTGTTAGACATGATCGCGGAAGGGAAGGAACAGATCATGCAGGAGCTGGAAGAAAGCGGCAGCGCTGCTGCTGGAGTCTTGAAAAAGTTTCGGCAGAATGCTCAGGACTATGCAGAATCGGCGCTCGCAAACACCTTGGGTGCCATTTTTGGGAAATCAGGCGGAGCGCCCGAGGAAGATTCCAAGCTCCCTGAACCTAAGAAGGCGCAGTTGGCAGCTGACGAATCGCGTTTGACAGCAGGAAAGGCAACGCAAGAGAAGAAGGAATCCATTTCAAGCAAGATGGCGCATGCCGGCGTGCAAGCGCAGGAACATATGGAAAAGGTGTATCATATCCTGCAGGATCAAGTGACCGCTTTCATGGATATGGGTGCGTCCAGGGATGCCGAGGCATGCGGCGAGGTTGTAATGAGCATGAAGCGGGAAACATCTTTGAAAGTAGATGCCGATGCTCTCCTCCGCTGCGTCAAGGCCCTTGCAGCCTTCACGTTTGCCGCTGGCATGTTTGTGAATGTTGCCAGAGGGGAACATGTCAAGGCAGCGAAGAATTTCGCAAGCTTCGGCCTGATGCAGTTGTTGGAGAGACATGCCAGAAAATCTAGGCTTCACTAGGCCCCAACGGTTGGCAGAAATTTTCCTACAGACGCTCTCCGAGTCGGAGTTTGGCATTGAAAAGGAGTAAAAGCGTGTTGCTGAGGCTCAAAGGGGCCACGGGCGTCTTGCGTAAGGATGTCACCGAGGAGGATCTGTAAAGCGTTGTGCATGACTTGAAGAGTACAGGACTGTTTAATGACTGTTTAATGGAAAGGGCATTGAGGAGCTAGACTACCCATTCCTCAGGATTGTGCGCTCCATAGAGAGCATCGCGGCTGTGTTTCGGCTTGAAAACAGGTTTCTATGGGAGGCTGTGAATATTATCTGAGTAACAGGCGATATTCTGGCCTCTTGCAGGAAGTTTAAGTTGCACAGGTTGAACCAGGAAGGATCACACACCACAGGTGTTTTGTATGCTAGGCCTTATGCGGATTCAGCGACTGACCAAGTCGCCTGTACTTTTGGTCACACAGTTCGTAGAAAGCTACCGAACGCGCCTCTACGAAGGCAGTGTGATATCGCGTAAATGTGTCACTGCCCCATTTTGAATGCCTTTGGCTGTACGCAACATTGAGAACGCTGTACAAAAGCGCCACCGTCGCGCACCTGCTTGCACGGATCTCTCTGTATTCGAACTGGGCACTTGTTGTCCGCAATTTACCGCTTGATGCAGTTCATGTGTTGAGGTCGTTCACACTCATCCACCACATAGTTGCGAGCTGTTTTCGGAGTAGCTCGTCATGCAGCCAGTTAGAAGCCACGATGATGCACCTCTAACCGCGCTAGGCATCATCAGTAAGGAATCGGCCAAGGTTTCTGCACGTTCGAATTTGTCAGCTGCTTCCATGTACAATAATTCCAATGTGAGAAACGTGAGCCCTGCATGCGTTGAGGCGCCACGCTTGGGCACATCCGCCACTGGCTATCTTTAGCGACGCCATTAGTCAACGATGCTTGGCGTTGGCTGTTCGCATGTTGCAGAGTAGGATTAGCGCGATACTAGAAGAGTGAACGTTGTATGCCTGCTGGCCACATGCAACCGCTTGCGATTGTTTGGCGCGATTTTGCGGGTTTGCAGCAGCGCACACGTCCTGGTGGTTGGTTCCCCCTCCACTATTGCCAAGCTCCCAACTAGAAGGCAGAGCGGGGAGGAAGCTTTTGAAAGCTTAGCGAATTGTCTGCTATTGCGTTGTGCACTGGTCTGGGGGCTAAACTTTTCCTACAAGTGCCCTAGGAGGGGCGATTTTTGGACGTCGGTGGGACGGCTGGATAAAAGGCAACGGGCTAGCCACTCGAAGGCAGCATAAGCTTTGGCAGAAGCGTCAGATGCCTGCAAAGCGCCAACCTCAGGGAGGCCGCATTGCAGTCAGAGCGGCAGCCACCGAAGGCAGTGTACATGCAGCAGAGAACGAAACACTGAGCAGCGCAGCTAGCCTGCGTTGTCATACTCCACGAGAAAGCCTGAACGAAATTCGCGCAGTCTTACGAGCAGCTGCAGCATATAGCGCTGCTGCCGGTGAAGCTCTAGATATCTAACAGAAGCCGCTGCAGCGACCACGTCCACGACGTCGGAGACGGTGCGCGACGGGCTATTGCTGCATGCAGGGGTAAGGACAGAGACGCTATGTCTGGTGACTCCTGGCATTCTGCAGACTCCGCAGAACCAGGCAGCTCTCTCCCCACCTCTTGCTGCTGCTGCTGCTGCTGCAGTTGGGGTGCGTCTGCTGCTGCCAGCGCTGTTTCGCTACTAACAGCGTCCCAGCAGCTGCAAAATCCGAGGGGTTGCTGCTGTTTAACACGCAAGAACTTGTTTCCGCTGTTTTGCAGTGGGCTGCAGTTCTTGACAAGCTCTACGATGAGGCGTTTGCGGCAGTCTGGGCACTGCTTGAGAAGTTGACGCAGCACGCGCTGCTGCTGCGGCTGCTGCTGCTGCTGCTGCGTTTGCAGCTGGCTTCCGAAGTCGGGAGAAGTGCTTGCTGCGCAGCTGCTGCAGAACCTGCTGGTGATGCTGCAGCAGGAGGTGCTGCTGTTACCCCACAGCCTGCCGTAGCAACAGCACGTGGGGTGGAAGGGCCCATACCCCTGCGCGACAGCAGCACCGCAGCAGCTGCATGCGAGTGCAGCAGCTGCATGCATGCGCAACGGGCAGCAGCTGCTGCTACTGCAGTCGACGGAGACTGCGCTTGAGCGCCTGCGCAGAGACAGCCGGTTGAGGGGATGGTGTCGTCCATGCTGCTGCATCAAAAGATTCGACTGTAGACGCAGACTGTCAAGGACGTACGCGTTGCTGTCGCTGCAACAGCGCATGCATCGGCTGCCACGCTGCGACGGAAACAGATCCTCCCCTACGGCTGTGGGGAAGCAGCAGCACGTCGCTGCGCTGGTGCTGCTGCTACGGCTGTCGCAAGAAGATACTTCCCACTGAGGCTGAGGTACAGCCAGCCTGCCCTCCTGCTGCTCGAGAGGCTGCTGCCGCTGCAAGTGATGTTGCCTCGGCAGCAGACGACGCCCCCCCTTTTCTTCCTCCTCCTCCAGCTGCTGCTGCTGCAGAAGCAGCAGCATGTGGGGAAGGCTGCTGACACTGCAGTCGGGAACCTCTGCTGCAACACCCGCAGCAGCAGCTGCAGCAGCAGCTGCAGCAGTAGCTGCAGCCTCTATGCTCTCTCCAGCGCAACGCTGCTCGTTCTCCCGTTGAAGTTGTTGCAGCCTGCACCTGAGCCGCTGCTCCTCAGTGCGCAGACGCTCTTGTTCCTGCTCCAGCAGATGCCGCTGGCTCAGGTGCTGAAGCTGGGGTTGCAGCCGTCCCCAGTGCTGCTGCTGTTGCAACAGCGTGAGTCTGAGATCCTGCTGCTGCTTTCCGTGCAGTGCCCAGTGTAGCGACGGAGATAAGCTGACTGCGTCCTTGCAGTGCGTGAGAGTACTGTCGCAGCAACCCTCGCCTGCACCTGTGGCAGCTGGCAGCGGGCAGTCTAACGGCTCGTCGGCATGCATCATCAAGAAAGCTGGGGGAGGGGTGCCATCAACAGCAGTTCCCGCCGCAAGCCTGTCCACGCGCTCTTCAACAGAGGATGGCAGCTGCCGGGAGGCTGCTGCTACAGCAGCAGCAGCCCGTGCAGCCGCAGCGGCTGCTGCTGGGCAGGCTTCAGAGCCAGCCACTTCCATCCATAAGCGTCTACAGCACAGTCCAGAGGCTCCATGAGCTGCAGCAGCATGTGCTGCTGCTCGATCTATCCTTGTGTCTGCTGCTTCCGCTGCTAGCGCCTATCGCCGTTCATTCATCCTGGCACTTCTGCATCGAAGCAACAGCAGCTGCTTCGGCTGCGGCTCCTGTCGTTGGCAGTGCGATGCTGCTGCTGCTGATTGCGTAGCAGCAGTGCTACTCTACCTTGCACCCGTGCGCCAGCAGTGGAGGTAGCCCTTTTGCACTTTCATATATATATATATCCGAAAAACAAATGTCACAATATAATACGCTTCACGTTAATTTGCGCGAAGAGTATCTTCTGCAACGGCTGCCGCTGCTGCGGAACCCATCCTCCGCGGAAGGCCGCTCAAAGCAGTCCAGGGGCTGATGCAGAAGGAGGCAAACAGCAACAAAAGTGCATGCTCTTCCTGAGCAGATTGAGTTTTTAAATGTTCAGGTGTCTTGGGGTGCTCCCCGAGCTTCTGCTGCTGAGTTACCTTTGCAACACTAACGTTTTCGCAGGAGGTTGTTACCACACACCACTGAGCAATGAGCAGAAACAGCAGCAGCAACGGCAGTGGTGATGATCACAAGCAGCCGATTACCTCGTGAGGGGACCTGGTGTTACATTGGCGTATAGTGAAACGCCTTCAAGAGAAGGCTTTTGCGATTTTTTTGCAAAAAGTGGCATCCCCGTAGCCTCTACACACGGCAACACCCTGACCTCTGTACTTGCTGCTGCTTTCGGGTGCACCCCAACGGCAGCAGAGGAAAGAGGCCACGTCTCACCTTCCCAGGGAGTCTGTGGACGAAGATGAGCGGCGACACTCATGCCGATGGCGTAGTAGTAGTAGCAGCAGCAGAGGGAGCACTTTCAACGCTCGATACAGCAGCCTCCCCCTTAGGAGATGCTCTACCTCCTTCAGCCTCCCACAAGGTTGCTGTGGTGACGGCTTCGACTGTGGAGGTCCTGCTGAAGCGCATCGATCCCTCTGCCGTAGTTACACCGGAGTGTCTCGAGGTATCTTCATCTTCAGAGAAGCAACATCGAAAGCTTCAATCCCTCTGCTATCGATCTTTGCTTACACGTGCAGCACTGCCAAGGTTGGCAGATTTGCTTCCACGTGTATCCTTCTCCCTGTGGCTTGGAATTTTTATGCAGGCTGTGGTAGCAATGGCGGATGCGTATACCGAGCAGATCGGCCGACTCCTCGCGCAGTTTGCCCGTCGATGGGGTGCTACGACTGTCACTCACAGAGACGCCAGAGCCTTTATTGGTAAGATATCATCAGAAGAAACGCACACACACCCTATACATACATATACATACATGCAAACATACCTACACATACATACATGCAAACATGCCTACCTACACATACATACATGCAAACATGCCTACCTACACACGTATACATATACGTACCTACCTACACATACATACATGCAAACATACCCACCTACACATACATACATGCAAACATACCTACCTACACATACATACATGCATGCATGCCTACCTACACATACATGCATGCTGTAAACCGTCAGAGCCTTTAAACGCAGTGTATCCTGCCAGCCAGCGCAGGGAGGCAGAGCCTGAAGCGTTGCCACGCAAAACAGACGAGGGAAGACAGACGTGATTCTCCTTGTTTGTGCACAGAGCGACTTTCGGGGTCCCCTGGATGGCAGTCCATGGCAGTGACGGCAGCAGCGGCTGCGCCTCAACGCGGGGTACTTGCTGCAGCTCGGCAACAACGGCAGATGCTGCTTGGACGTATCCGTGAGGCAGAAAGAGCAGCAGGGGAAGCCTCAGGGGAGAGTGGCGTGAAGGGGCGCCGTGAGGCAGTGCCTAGCTTCACGCAAGAAGCGGTTGAGAGGGCAGCAGCAACACCAGCAGTACTCAGTAGGGGTTCTGCTGCTGTTGATAGTGGCGCTTCTACAGTGCGCGGCAGCGCCCATTCAGCCGTCCAGACACCGCAGCACCGACCGCGCGTGCGCTTCTCGCAAGATGCTCCGAATACAGCAGGGGCAGCTGCGCAAATAGGGGCCACAGCAGCAGCAGCAGCAGCAGCAGCAGCAGCAGCGACAGCAGCACCAAGCAACGCCGCCTCGCCAGGAGCCATGTTGCAGCGCGTCTTTCGAACCCCAGAGGGGCCCCCCTCGGATTTTACAGCGGCGGCAGGAGGCATGGGAATGCCTCCTCCAGCTCGCCTGTCTCGGCAGTTCGCAGTCGACATCACGCCTTCCAAGGAGTCTCCGCCGCTACGCCAGGAGCCGCCCCTTGGCGTGATGAGAACGTCTGCTGCTGCACTGCAGTGGGGGGGTTGGCTAGGGGGTGAAAAGGCACTTACCAAGCCCCCGAACAGCCCGTCGGGTGTCAGATGATCTGGCAAAAATGCTGCATCATGCTGCATGATGCAGCAGCAGTGCGAACCAAGTGTATGTTTGTAGCCTTAGCTCGCCTAACAGGGAGCCTTTGTGCATGCGCACAGCACACCGCTTCTGAGCGCCGCGCGGTTGTCTCTTTCCCGCGATTGCCACCCCGCCGCCGCCCGTTAATTGGGGCTTTAAATGTCTAGAGGGCGTAGAACTCTTGCAATATTTTGTTGGCTTTGATTAGACGGCGTTATTGAACCGAGATAATGTATTGGCGACCGTGTTTCTACGCCGGAGTGTGTAGGGCTGTAGCGGAGGGCCCCTCCGCGGCTGGCTACAGCCGCAGCTACCCGTGGAGCCACGCTTGCTTCAAGAGCGCTGCGCTAGAAACAGCAGCAGCTAGCTAGCTAGCTAGATAGGACGCCGTGTATCCGGCGGTGAACAGCGAGATCTAGTCCGGCTTTTTACCCATTCGTTAGCTCGTGGCGCTTGTGTGTGGGTGTGGTTACATGTGCGCTCACACACCTCCCTACCCACACGCATACACCCCAAACTGCAGCCCTTAAGCCTGCGCTTCGACAACACAGGCAGCACGCTGCAGCGAATGGGGGGAAGGCGGGAGGGGGGAGGCGAGCGGCTAAGGAGAGCAAGGGAAAGTCGCATGTCAGCGCCTTCCCCTAGGCCTTGCGCGCCGCTGGCTTGTTGCGCTCTACCTGCAGAGTATGAAGCAACAGCAAAAGAAGACAGTCGAGCAGTACAATTCACCTGCGGCAACGGGCGGGAAATTCGGTGCAGCAGCGACAAACGCTCAGCCCGTGCCGCTGACAACGCGCAGTTAAGGTGCAGAACGGTCTTTCGTACCGTGCTGCTGCATGCGCATGCAGCAGCACGGTACGAAAGACTGAAGGCAGCAGCAGCAGCATGCGAGCGGTAGGGAAAATGCCCAGCAGGGCACAAGGAAGCGGCGGCGCTAACAGCAAAAGCCTAACCGCTGTAAACCTTCCTCCTCCGCCGAAGTAATCCTTGGCATCCTGCTGCTGCTGCTGCTGCTGCTGTGTCTCGGCTAGGGGGTTGCAGAGCTCGATGCCTTGGATAGGAGTGAAGGTGAGAGACGAAGAGAAGCCTGTGCTAGTGCTCGTGCCGGCTGCGGAGACAGCTGAGGAGAGGCCTCCCTTAGGGCGCAGCTGCTGCTGTCGGCGCTGATCTGCGTGTAAAAAAAAAGGCAGCCAGCAAAATAAAAATCAGCGCGTCAACACCTTCAGGCGAATCCCCCGTTGCTACTACCCTTCACAGACTCTCGAGAAACAGGCACAAACCTTACTCAGCTGTGCCTTCTTTTGCTGTTTGGCTTGAAGCTTCAGACGGCCACTAGCGATGCTCCTTCCGAGCATTCCCAGGCCCTTTGCTGTACAGACACCGCAACGCGCTGCATCGCTCCGTGAAAAAGGCGTCACCCAGAAGGTCACAAACACAACGCCCCATATAGCAAAGTGTGACACTCCACTGCCACCATGTTTTCCGTTTCTGCTCGAGTTGGCAGATCTCCCTCCCTGCGCCTCTTCTCGTTCCCCTTGCTCCGAACTCCTCGCGCAGTTTCGCCCTTCCCGTTCGCGCTCGAGAAGGCGCTCCAACACCCTCCTCCTCCTCCTACCCACCACCTACCCTTCAGTCCAACGGTGTCTTCCTGCTCGCCGAATTTCATCCTGTTGAGCTGCTTCTGTACCTCCGAGAGCTCCTGCTTCTCCTTGAGCCGGCGGTGTCGCTTGCCTCCCCTCTTTGGCTTTGACCGCTCGTCTGGCGCGGGCAGCGCCTTCTTCATGGGAGCAGGAGGAGGCTCCTGTGCCTGTACAGCCGGAGGCAGCAAGGCAGCAAACAGCGGCAAGGATGCACAGCCCCCAAGGAAAAGATAGACCTCACAGACTCGCCTCCCACGCGCAGTTTCCTCACACACCGTCTCAGCTGCTGAAAAATATTCAAAAAAAATCCATATCATAGAGAACCAGAACCCTCCTGGTACTGCCCTTCATGCCCCAGGTATACGCAGCGCTCCTCTTGTGTCTCCCTCTACCCTCGTGAGCCTGTCGCTTTTTTCCCCGATTCTGCAGGCTGCAGCGAATGCACAGGCCTGTCACGCAGTTCTTTTCGACGCCGTAGGCGCGCAAAGCACTCATAATATACACAGCTAAATCTATATGCATGCATGCAACAACTGTATTCAGGATGGAGGACCTTCATAAGAGCCTGAACAATGCCTTCTCGAAGTGCCCTGCCAACAGCGCCTGGATTTTCCGAACTGTCTGCTGCATTCAGCAGCGCCTCTGCTGCGCTTTCCTCCTGCGTATCCGATGTTTCTTCATCGCCTTCTCGCCCCTCTGCTGCTGCTGCTGCTGCTGCTGCTGCCGGCTTGCTGCCGTACACGTCAACACGAGCAGCAAGAGCCACCTTCCCAGCGAGCAGCCGCAAGGCTTTCTTGCGGTATGCTGGAGGTGTCATGATGAGCAAATCCGAGGAGCAGAGGAGGGAAGAAAACGCATTCGACGCTCCTCCTTTTGTTGACAGCGACAAACTCCCCTTCTTCTGGGACCCCACCAACTGCGAGCCATGAGCACATACACCCAAGTAAACATACATTAATATGTATACCCATGAATACACATAGACATATGTATACCCATGAATACACATAGATAGCCACACATACATACATTCCCAAACAAACACACATAAATACATTCCCAAACAAACACACATAAATACATTCCCAAACAAACACACACACGAAACCTTCCCAGACAAACACACACATGTACACATACCCAAATGCACATCCACATACACGCACTTACACACTTACACACTTACACGCACTCACACACACAGGGCACCCCTTTTCGACCAGCTCGATCGCATGCAGTCTGCCAGCAGACGCCTTCTTCTGCGCCTGCACTTGCACGCCGTTCTACAGGAGGCAAAAACGCTCGGAATGTGAAGCGTCACCATAATATTTTGTGCCGGCATTTTCGCAAGGCTCTGCAAGCAGCCAACTTTCGTCAGGAGACGCGCGGTTAAAGCTGCTCCCAGGATCGCCGACACGTTAGGGGCCACAAGACTCATGCGACTCTCCAAGTACTGCAACACCTGCAGCAAGCAGAAGGGAGGAAGACGCTCGGGCATAGTGAAAAGAGGCGGGGGGGGAGAAGGAGTGGGGGGAGAAGACAGGGGGGGTGTCAGATCGCGCGAAACGCTGCTGCCACGCGACGGCACAAAAATCCGCCGCGGGGCAGTGCACACACGAACACATGCACACAAATACTCATACGTACACACAAACAAACATACACACCGAAACATACACTCAGACATAAACAAATACAAGCATGCGCAAAAACAAACACACATACTCACATACATACACACAAAGACGCACACAAAAACAAATAGAAAACCACATGCACAAACGCACAAAGACAACACATACACACAAATACCCAAACGAACACCCCCCGAAAGGAGCCGAACAAACACTCAGCCGCATGTGCAGCCCAGCACGCGTATTCGCATGCCGGTGCTGCTGCTGCTAGCCAGTCAAACTACCTCCTTGCGACGCTCTGCAAGTGCCAACGCCTCCTTCGCGGCAGTGATGGCCTTTTCTAAATCTTCCTCCGGCAAGCGGCGCCCTTCGCGGCAGCGCAAACACACACACAGAACACATAGTGCCCTCATTAGACGCAGAGAAATTCGCATGCAGCCTTACTGTTAGACATGAAAGACTATTTGAACACGAAAAAGCGGCAACACACAACAGCGGCACACGCGCAAAAAACCACCAGACTGTTGCACCTGCCTGCAGCACAGCCGCGAAACAATGCACCACCCACAGCTACAACAGCTGCACTTCTTTGTCGACAAGAAGCTCGTGCTACCTGCGTTGGCTGCGTTGCTTCCCGCGCTGCCCGATATAGAGAGCGAGGCTGCGACAGTGAGCGCCATGATCATTGGCGAGGGCAGCAAATCAGATAAGTCCACTTGGGTAAGATCCTGAGAAGTCATAAAACCACGACCACCACAACACGCAGCCAACTGTACGTACACCGCAGCGCGAAGCGGCCGATGTGAGTGCAGCGGCAGCTGCGTATTCGCAGCGCCTCCCTGCCCGCCCCTCTGACACAACTGCGCATGCCGAAGCGCACATCTATTTGACATTAAAGTCTTCCGCTTGGCATCTTCGACGCAGTAAACTACGAGAAATACAGCCCCCTGCGAATGAATGCAATGCAGCCTCAGCAGCCGGCAGTGGTGCGCCAACAGCGATCATCGCTATAGCGGCGGACCGTTTGATTCTGTATTCGGTGAACAACTGCGATATACTCGAGGGGCGCCTGCACGATGGATTCCAACTCCGGAAACTTCATGGAATAGATATCTCTTATGAACCGATGCACTGCCAATATGCTGCAGCAACAGTTCAAGACACAAACGCAACTCGCAAGGGGCCCTCCTGCAGCCGTAACCATCCTGCTGTATCGAGGTTTCGACGAGACTGCGTAGGGGAAAAGCACGGGTAAGAGACGCAATAGCGAGATGTAGAGGCACCCTTCATCACAGCCGATCAGCCAGCAAGGCGGCCAGACAGAACGGAGGCGAAGCAGCGTCACGCGCTCTTGCAGAGCTACACTACAATGGCATACTCTGTGTCAATGTCTATCACAAGCTGATTGCACTCCTCGATCAGCGCGAGTTCCTCTCCGCTAGCTGCGACAGCTTGGGGAGTTAGTTCCCTTGCTTGCTGCAGCAGCAACGCCCCCAGAGTGAGACACGACGCCACGACGATAGAGGCAGCAGCGCACCGCAAGCGTGAATTTCGTGGCTGCTCTCCGTTCGTTTGTTATTTAGGGTGGCAGAGGTGACTCCAAATGAGCTCGGAAGAGAGTCAGCAGCACGGCTGCAGGGACTGACAGTAGCCATGCGGGCAGACAGGGGGTGTTGAACGCGCTGCCAGAGCACCCCATGGAGCGGTGTGGCGAAACTACAAGCAAGGGAGGCAGGAAGATCAACAGCGGCAAATTTGGCATACTTCGAGCAGCTTGATGAATCGCGGCTGCTCCGCGAGGCTGGAAACAACGGCAGAAGAGACGAGGCCTCCTTTTTTGCTCAAATACAGCTCGACAGCATCCGGGATAGGTTCCCACTCGTCTTCTTCTTGATTCGCTGCTGCACCAGCTGCATCCTGCTGCTGCTCCTCTGGCTCGTCGAGCTCCTGCAAGTCGCTCAGAAAAGACTCCGCTAAGGTAGCCTGAAGAGACGCACAGAGCCAAAAGAAACTTCGCTTCGATAGCACTCATGAAGCAAAGTCAGCTGAGGCTGCAGCTTTGAGGGGATCAACGCACAAGCGGGCAGGCAGGAGAGCGGTGGTGCTTCTAGCGCAGACACTGGCAGCTGTTGGCTGCTGCTGCGATTTAAAAATGCAGCAGCAACCGGGCAAAGGGTCGTATAGCCCCCACCATTTTCAATTGATCGGAGCTGCAACACGCGAAGGCGGCTTCAGGTGTACCCCGACCGTCGTGCTGCTGCCTTGCAGAGCCGCCCCCCTTTTTGTCGATGATTCGGTGGTATTTTTGCTGCGGCTGCTGGTGCTGGTGCTGCTGTTCGCGTTGCTGGTGCTGCCGCAACAGCTGCAGGCAACACAAGCGAGTTTGGCACACGCGAGCGTACCGATTCGCCAGCAAAAGGCGCTGGAGTCGCTACTTACCCCGAAAATCGAGGAAAAAAGAAGGCGGCCACGACTTGAAACAATGTTGCAACACAAAGGAGCAGCCACATGCGGCGCGCTTGGAGACAGTGGGGGCACAGTAGGAGGGTTCACTGGGAGGCAAGGGGGGCCCCTTAGGGGCCCCCCTCCTCCCTCCTTGAAGGAACCCGGCTCCTTCCAGGCCTAGGCAAATGCAATGTTTCTTGGCAGCTGCGTTGTTGTGCTTTTGAATTGCCATAGACACTGCACTCACCAACTTTCTGCCGCTCTGCTGCGGGCTTTTCTGCTGGCGCAGAACCCGTGCAGGCGGCTCTAAGGCTGAAGGCGTCCTCCACAGCCTTGGCTCGAGATGCGGCACTTTCCCTTGGGCATGCAAGGCTGGCTGCTTTCTTTCGCCAACAGCAAAGGGTCCAGAGGTCGCCGCCTCGCGGCGTCGGCTCGCAGTGGCAGACTCTACCCCACTTCAGGCACTATGAACGAAAGAGAAAGACAAGAGAGAGCGGCAGGCGTAGTGTAGCGGCAGGCGTAGTGTAGCGGCAGGCGTAGTGTAGCCACAGGGTCCTATAAGGCTCGTAGTGTACGGCTTGAGGCGTAGCGAGGTGCCCAATGCGGCTTCAGACGCAGCTGGGCTGGTGGCGCCTTGTGCGCCTTCCAGCGGCGCACAAGGCAGTAATCGGTGTGGCTGTAGCACGTGCTGAAGATTGCAGTCCTTTGCATTATCGTGTGCTAGAGTTTGTAGGCAACTTAGGGCATGACAGAGTACGTAAGGGGAAAGGAAGGAATGTTGTAGAGGCCTCCCTCCTTTCTCGGCTTAAAATAGTACCTAGTGTCATTCGCTCAAGTCGTCGTTCTGCTCGAGCGGCATGCAGCGGCGTTCTTTAAATCGTGGCCGTCGACGCTCTGGGAGAAAAACAAAGAACCTGCTCTGCCGTAAACAAGGAAGCACAACCCGCGTCTGTCCGCACGAGTGAATCAAACCCTGTGTACGTTTGCGTACTACGCGATAAGTCCGTTGCTGTATATCTCCTCTGTGTCAGTGAAACGGCGGGTGGCCACCCAAAAGAAGGAAAACGCTCCCATACACCTAGAACATTCTTCCTGTATGCCTTGCTGCACATACACATCTAGATGGGTATGCACGTATATGTGCATGCGTCTAATCTTTCTGTACTCCTACAAGTGCATAATCTCCATAGGTTCGCATATTTTTCTTATGTTCACTTGCGGCTTCACAATTGCAGGTCTTCTTAGGGGGCAGATTGGGACGGGTACGCACATGCTTGCACATACTTCGCGTGTAGGCTAGGATGAAGATGCAAAAAAATGTATTGGTCCTGAAACACTGTCAACTTCACCTGTCGGAGACGTTGTAAATAAGTTGATGCATTTGCGGAAGCGCCTAACTCATGAAGTAGAAGCAAAAGTCAGCACCGCGGACCGCCGTTCTAGAACGGTGTTTCTTGTTTTGCCTTGATGCATTCACAAAGAGTATACAGGCCTTGCTCTGCCCGCCATATGATGGTTATTTGCTAAGCAAGTGGTATGCCTCTATTTGTGTGCATATAGTTCTGTATCGCGACATAGCATTCTGTGGCGCCTCCGTTGCGAAGCCTTCTTTCCCATGGAGGCAGAGTGCGTGTGTAAGAAAGCAGGACGAAGGCAGCTTCCCGTACCGGTGGAGATACGGTCACAACGGCACTGTTTCCCTACTAACAAATCCACAGAGCTCAAACACCGCCCTTCAACGCTTCTCCAAAGGCTGGGCCTCATTCGTGTTGCCTGACGCATCCTCAAGCCTTACGTCTCCTTCATGTCAGAGCGACTGCGTTTGTCTGCTCTCTCGTTAAGCTGCCTTCTTGTTTCCTGTCACTGCATTTCAACCGTGGATCTTTGACTTTGATCGTCTCGTCTTCTCTGTGTAGCCGCTTTCCGCAGCCCTGTCAGTGTTGCTTGTCTACAGATTAGAGCAGTAGGCGGTATAGGGGGAGAAGCCCATAGTGCGGATTCCTGAGCTGCGCCCTTAAGAATTTCTCGCCTCGGCACTTGAAGGAGCGTGTTAACGGGCGATGGTTTAGTCTTTGCTGTTTCTGGTTTCTAGCCTCATGGATACAAGTTGAGGTGCCCGAGGTCGGCCGGTGTGGCATGGACTTTTTCTCACAGACAGCAAATGCATGATGATGCGATGATACCTTCTACACAGTAGTCACTCTAAAAGCCGTCATCGTGAGTGCGGTGCATAACACCAGATGAGACAGCGGCAACTCAAGCAGCAGCACCTTGCCGTCCGACTAAGATACCGCGGGGAACGCCATGGTTCAAAGCCTCTCTCGGGCATTACAGACCTCCGTTACACTCTAAGTTCCACGATCTTTGCAAGTCACCCACCATACGGCGCGTCACTCACGAAGATCGACGGACAGCTATGCTCGGTTCAAGCTGGAAAGCAAGGGACTGAACAGTTTAGTAGGTAAAGGCATCCTTATTCCCCTTTTTGCGACATAAAAACAGTCAAATACATGGCCCTGGCATGGAAACAACCTGTTTTTTCCATCGAGGGGTTTTTGCATCTCCGACTGGCAACACCACATGCGGGACCATCGCTTTGCCAGCATCCCGATTCAGCCGCAAGAACCCTAATCCTTCGGAAGGGCCAGAGCGAACACAAATCTGCTTTAGTGAAAATTCAGCTGTTTCGGATAAGCTTTGGCGTCACCAAGAGGAGATACAGTTCGTCAGACACCACCAGGCTCGCAGCATGAGAGGCTGCAGTGACCATCGGAGCGTGTGTTTTCCTCAAGAGCACTGATCTTAGCACTGCGGGTCCTAGTGCCCCCCAATCCACTAGCTGCAACAAGCCATTCTTTATTTTCCCTGCAAGAGTATTTCTTGTGTGCACCAGAGGTGCAGAAGGATCACACACATGGGCAGGACGGGTAGGGTCGTCAAGGCCAGCTTCTCCTGGACCAAAGCAGCAGCAGCACCCCAGTGGCGACAACACTACAACACACCCTCAAAAATACTAGGAACAACACCAGTAACCCATTGTGGACCGCCGGCAACAACCGCAGCAGCCACACCAAATCGAAGTGAACCGCAGCTTGCCCAGCAAATGCTTAACAAGTGCTCCGGAGATAGAAGCACTACCAGGGACGCAATCTGCACCAGCACTAACAGCGGGATGCGAAGATCGGTCGGAAGAATCCCATGACAAGTTTGCATGCATGCACCCGCTGGGGGAGCTGCACGAGTAGGAGGCTCCTGAGGGGAAGTTAGAGCACATCCAAATAAGCCAGGCTCGCTGGAAAGCTGCCTCTACTACTGATGTGATTATCGGAGGTCCATGATAGAAGGTAATGTTCATCTGCACCTCTCGGTAACACCGTCATCGACACCATAAACGAGGCAGCAACCGCAGCTAACTCTAAAGAAGACTGCCAGAATCTACCAGGGTCAGCGTCACAAGCACAGTTTTCAGCCCGCAAAGTAAAAAGCACAAGCGGCAGCATCTGCACTTAAAGCCCTGCTCCCCCCTTTCTCCGTGTGGATCTCGCCATATTACCTCACTTTGAGCCAACACTACTGCAACTAGCGGGAGCTGTAAGGGAGCAACGACCTCACAAGACAAGATGCCTACGGAAACGAGAGGACCAGCCATATCTGCAGCGCGAGCAACGGCATCACCAGCAGCCGTTCGCGCTGAAGCAACACATGCAGATAGCGCAGGGTCACGACACCCAGCAACGCCCGTACACCGTATTGCTGCTGCAACTTTGGGGTTGGCAAGCTCAGGATCTCCACATGAGTCGCTGCCTGGCGAATCAGTGGCGAGAGCAGCAAAAGCGACAGAAGCAGCGGCAAGCCGTTTATGGAGTCTCATGGCTCTGATCTTCGCGATTAGCCTTTTATGTGCGCCCCTGAGATGGACGCTTCCGGCTATCGAGGACGCAGCAGCGCGCACTTCCGCAGTGTCGGCAACAGGGGCTGCAGAGCCTGCTATCATGCCTTCTCTTCAGCAGCCGCAGCCTTCACGAAATCACTTGCAAGAGGACACACAGGCGCTGCTGCCACTTGCTGTACCGGCGGTACTGTCGCGTGAGTGCCTCTCAAAGGAATGCTGCTGCGTGCCGGGAAAGCGCAGAGCTTAGCAGCGACGCCTGCTGCATCGCATGGAGTCGGCATGCAGCGGCCTGCGGCTGTTCATGGTGAAGTTTCTTGCGGGCTGTTGTGCTGCCGGTGCTACGTTTCTGCAGACCCTTCACTCAGCAGCGTAACCGACTACCTCGAGACACTCTCCAGAGAACCTATTGCAGAGTATTACCTGTTGCAGGCCATGCCCACAGAGGAGCAGCAGGAGCAAGACAGCCGTGGCTTCGTGGGGCTTATGGAGAGGCTACTGCAGGGGCCGCTGCAGCTGCTGCTCTACCTTGCATGCATTGCTATAGACGGGGTCTTCTCGTGCATTGTGGGGTTCTTATGGCTGTTGCTGCGGTGCATAGACGGCGCCGTGCTGCAGCGGTGCCGTGACATGCTGCTGCTCGTTCAGCAGCTGCCGATGCTGATGCGCTTTGTAACGTCGAATCAAGTCCTCTGTTGCTGCATCTGCTTGCGGGCCACGCTGTTGTGGGTGTACATACAGCTGAACTCACGAGCTGCAGCCACAGGAGACGCTCTAGTTCACGGGCTTCTTGTTGCTGTAGGTGCCGCTGCCGTTTCTACACTGTTTAACTGTCTCACGCCTCTTTCCCATGTTGCCCAGGAGAGCAGTCTGGCTCTTGCCGCTGCGGCAGGATACGCGCATGCGTTGCAGCAAGCGCATGCCTACAATGTTTTCTGCTGCTGTTTCGTTCCGTGCCTCCTTGCTGCGATATACGCACTGCAACGCGAAACCCCGAGGCAGCAGCTGCAGAGCGCAAGTGCAGCCTCTGCGGCAATGAACTCAAAGACACTGCAGCAAGCTTCCCGACGGCCGCCTTTTTCGTTCGAGGGTGCTGCATCATATCTGCAGCAGGAGGCTTTCGGCAGCGGCAGCTTTGCAAAGAATGCGAACAGCTTAGACGATGAGGCTGCAAGCAGCAGGACGTTCGATACAGTTGAAGCCGAGTCACCTACGGCAGCCATGAAAGTCGACCCGAAGGTGTTAAGGAAACAGCTACAGCAGCTGCAGCAGGAGCTGCAAAATCTCAAGCAGGAGCTGACAGAGGTGGCGCTAGCTGAGAGCCATTCGTTGCAGGCCTAATTTGCTAGAGGGCTTGATATATATATATATATATATATATATGTATGTAGGATTGTAGCTGCACGTCCCACTGCGTTTTCTGCTCTCCCTTGTTATCGCTTTTGCTCCCGCTGCTGTTGCTGATGCCGTTGCGCATATGTCGCAGGAAAGGCAGAACTGCGCGGCGGCAAGCCATTTGGTCACGGAGGAGAGACAGCGCTTGCGGCGTCTTTTGCACGTGACGGAGTCTGACTCCCGTTTTTCTGCTCAACAGCAGCAACGCATCGACTTGCTGCAGCAACAGGTTGAAACCCGCAGCGAAGATTTGCGCCAGCTGCAGCGTCTGTGTACTGATTTGACCGCTCGTCTGCAGAGTATAGCAGAGGTGTATCTTTATGAGGCTTGTGCGCTGCGGCGGGGCTTCTTCTGGCTCTCCAAATTTTACTGGTCGTGATATTTCTGTCTTGATGGGTGTAGCTACGTGCCGCCGATCAGCGTACAGCCCTAAGCGCCAAACCAACAGGGATTGGTTACGTTTCTTGAAATATGCTAGGGTACTGTTCTTCCCCAGTGCCTGGCCTCCATCGGCTTGTTTTGTTGGTGCGTGCAACGCTTCAGGAGGCGCCGGAAAAAAGTGAAGCTGCCGACGTCGTAGGCCGTGCGCACTCTGGCATTTTGGAGGTTCTGCAGAGAGAAAATGAGGTGCGTGTATTGCTGCCATGGCTTCTGCTGCTGGTAGTCGTGCAAGTGCTGCATCTGCCTGCCTCTGTGCTGTGGGGTGCCCTGCCTGTGTTTTTTTCAGGAGCTGCTGAAGGAGCGAAGGCACTTGGAGGAACGCATCCTGGAACTCAAGGATGAGCTAGAAGATATGTCTGTTTACAAAGCAAGCCTATACCGCAGCGTCGACAGCAACAGCAACCCGATGCGTGCCTTATACAGCACAGCAGGAGTCGCAACTGCAGCGCCACAGCGAGGTTTCCAGGAGTGTGCACCAGATGTGCTCATGGGAACCCCGCGTCCCTAGATGCGTGTGGCGTTGTTGTGGCGGGAGTCGTCAGCAGCAGCGAAGGGAGTGGTTTGCTGATGCTGGTTGCTACATGTATGCAGCATCCGGATCCTCCGGAGGACGGCATCGAAAGCCTCCCCCCCTGAGAGGGCTTTAGGGGGATCCTTCAGTTCAGGCTGTTGGCGAGAAGCACCAAGTTGGCGGGGACGTCTCCCGCCCTCCTGTGGTGGACCACATGGAGGATCCCTAGGTAGCGGGAAGGGGGGGCGGGAGGGTATGCAAGGCGATGGTGATGCGCAGCATCCCCCCTGCATGAATTTGACACATTTGACGCTTCGGCTAGACCCTCCTCCTTGCTGCTGCGCAGCGACGCCCCGGAGGATCTAGCCGAAAGCAGCGCGAAGTCGATTTCCTTCGCCGCACTTACGACGTGGCTGCTGTCCGAGCCGCCGTACGCGGGTACCCCAGAGGTTTCCACCACTCAACCCACCATCGACTGACGAGGCAGGCGCTTGCCTTCGTGCGAATGCAGACGCAACTGAGACTGTTGCCGCTCTCATTGGCGTCGTGGTGACCAGTAGTCAGGAGCTGCAGTGGTACGTGTGCCAGTGCCTTTTTCTCTGGTGCGGCCTTCTGCGTCTCAGCCCTGCACTACCGGAAAGAGACTTCGAAGTGTCAACAACAGCAGCAGCCAGGGCACCAAAGGCCAGCATACAGCGAAGACGGCTCTCTACGTATCCCGATCAGCTTGCCGTGCCTCAACCGCTTGAGGCGCAGCATGGGGGACGCTCCCCTCGCCGTGGGCTTCTTTACTCGCGACATGCGCTTTTTTGTGTGGGAATCGCTCAGACCTGCACTATGGCTCTCTCGGCCCCTTCTGAGGGGCCCCCAGAAAATTGAAGCCTGCCGGTTTGCTGTGGCGCTTTTGCACCAAAATACCCTCTCACTAAGAGTGTCTGCAGCAGCAGAATTCTAGACGCAAAGGACTTCTCTCCTATTGCAGCTACGCATGCTAGGGTGGTGTACGCTAAAGGCAGAGCCCAAGAACAGAAATCCTCTAGAGCGTTAGTGAGTCCAAGAGCTCCACTTCAGGCTCTCCTGCTTTCTCCTGCTGCTGATGAGAGCTTGGCTGCGGTTTCAAAGTGTCGCCTATCAGGGCCTCTAGCTCGGCTGCAGTAGCCTGCAGTTCCGCGCTGTCCACAAGGGGAGGGGCGTCTTCGTGCTTTTCTTGCCTCCCCTCTCGTGCATTCAACGCATCTGGTGCGCGACCTTTCTCCGTGTTTGCCCCCGGGTTCGTCGCACCAAGGGCCCCCTCCTCGCTTAAGAAGGGAAGGGCACTGTTGAGAGGCCCATAGGCCTCCAGCAGCCGCTCAGCTGCCGCTGCACCGGTTCCCCCCCGCTGCCTTTGCAGCCGTGTGGGAGTCTCCTGTAGCAACTGTAGCAAGTCATCGATGCCGCTGCTGTCGTGGGCCCTGTGGCTGTTACGGCTGCTGGTGGGTGACTGCGGTGGGCGTGTGCTCTTCGATGCCAAGTTGCGGCGGCATCGGGCAGCCTGTTGCTCCCGCCTATCGGTCCGCGTATCCACGGGAAGAGGGGAGAGGGGGAAGTCTCCGTGGATCGCGTCTGCTGTCTGCTGCCGGTGTGGCTGTTGCTGGGGGTGCTGTCGCCTGTGGATCGGCTGCAAGCGGCGATGGACTATAGCCACCTCGTTTTGCGGAGCCCCTTGCCCCGTGTGCGGCACCTTCGGGTGCAGATGTCGCTGCTGCTGCAGAGGCACCTGCTTCTTTGACTGCTGCTGCTCTAGGTGGTACTGTGTCGCCAGGAGAAGCTGCGTGTCCTCAGGGTTTCCTGAAAAGGCGAAAGTCAGCTCGGGGGATGTTTCTACGGTAACCCAATCCTCCAAGTCTGCAGGAAGCTCTGGCGCTGGGGCATTGGCTGCGGATCGGGGTGTGCATGTGACGGAGGGGTTCGGACGTTTTCTATCGGTAAGCCGAGGCAAACAAAAGAAGCAGAATGCACTTTCATGACGCACCCATGCAAGGTTTCCCCATGCTGCTGCATGTTTCATGGGCCCTCGCGGATTCGAGGTGTGCATACAGCAGAAGCCGCCGCTGCTCTGAGAGCTCAGGACACTAGGGTTGCTGAGGATGGCACACATCGCAACATGCATGGAAGGAAGAATAAATATCATGAGATAGTGCGCCAGAAGGCACAGGTGGAGCAAGAATGCAGGCATTCGAGCAGAACACACCGCAACCGACACCTGCTGCAGAAGGTCTAAGCTGCGCTCGAGAGCGCCCTACACGCATGAAACACCCCTGGGGGAACATCAGAGCACAAAACGAAAGAATTCAATCATCCGTTAAGGGGAGGTTTAGCGTGTTTCCTCTTGTCGCTGAGAAGGGCCCCTGGTACGGGCCCCTATTAAGGGGGGCCCCGCCATCAGGGACCCTGTTTAAGTGAGTAGTCCGAGAGTCTCGTAAAGGCTGCTGCTATTTTTCTACAGCTTCTAAGAGTAGTCGGATGCGGAACAGAAGAATAAACTACGGAGTTTCCGGCTGTGCTATCAACGGCAGTGTGGACCAGTGGCACGAGAGAGTCCACGTTCTCGTACAACTCGAAAGATCTATCATTGCTTCCTTTGATGAATCGTGCAAGAATGCGGGGCCCATATACATGTATACATATGTATCCAAATACGAAGCAGCACAGCCTGATGCTACGTCTGTGTACATGGATATTATAGGTTTTATATGAACAATCAAAGCTGTTGGCACAAATACACATACCAACCCACTAACTTTCGGAGTCCTGTACAAAAACGCACTTGATGTCGTACTCGTGGCGTTACCCCTTCCCCTATAACTCCTTGAAAACCCTGGCCGAACTCAGCAGAAGCTCTGAAGGAAACCGCAGGCGTTCCCTTCAATGACTTCAGCAACAGTCAAAAAACAAATAGCCGTAATGGCATTTGAAAAGGCCGGAGAGAACTCCCTTCTGCGTGCACAGGTTTTTAACATATGATATCATCACATACACATCTGCACTTAAGCACGGTTTCCTATTGCCCAGAGACCATTTCTAGCGGTTGTGAAGGTTCCGCTGCAAAACGTATTTCTTTCCATGTATGTGCTCCACTCTGCTTGAGTATATCTATGTACCCTATTCTTTTCGCTCTCTACGTTTTCGTCTGACCCTCGTGCATGTTGCACCCAAGCAAGCTCAGTCTGTGTGCACCTTCCCGTGGTGCCCGCTCCCTCTAGATCTGCCTCACCCTCCTCTCTCCCATTCTTTCTTTCCGGCAGTCGATGCCTCTTTTCTTTGCTAAGTCATCTTACTTCTGTCGCCTTTCATGCACACCTCTGCTTGCATCCCTGCGGCCCCCTGTGGGTCGTTCTTTTTTGTTACAGAGGGCTGTGCTACGCGTGGGCGCTTCCTCCTGCATGCTTTTTAAATAACACAAGAATTAGTGAAGAATTATCTATTTTACTTTGATGCTGACATATCTTATTTATTTGCAGCGTATCATTAGCACATTACTGTAGCACTCGATGGCTCTGTGCGTGTGCGCTAGGTGTGATCTGCAACTAATTGTAAATGCTCAGAGTGCTTTGAAAGTGCAGAAACGCTTTCGCTAGCTCTCTATCGCAAGCCCACGCTATAGCAGCCTCTTCTAAATGCATTTTATGGCCGTTGACAGGGCCTTCTAGGCACTGAGACCTAAAGAATAAATGGCCAGACATGATATCTGTTAGGGTCTTCAGCAGCTTACAGTTAGTACAGATGTGCAAGCTTGCGCATCATGTGATAGCAACGAACTTGTGAAAGTGATTGTGGTGAAGGAGGGACTTCACAGTCTTGTACAATTGTGTTCTATCACCCAATAAGCTTGACAACGAAATGGAGCATCACTATGAGCAGGCTCAGGGAGTGAGCTAGCAACTAGCTGCGTCCAAGTGAAGCGGCTGACGTCCGCTGGGCCAGTAAACGACAAAATAGTTTGAAGGCCCCATTCGACTACAGACAATAGTGAACTCGGATAAAATATCCAAATGTAGAACAGCCTTTAAGCCTTGCTTTTGCTCGGAGCTGGCTGTGCTTTAAACCGAAAACCGCCAGCAAAGCTTGCTGTAATTGTGGTCAAAGCACTTGAAGTGTTAATAGCTAAATGCACCATATATGCTGCGCACACGCATGCAGCATTATGTCTTCTTGCATCGCGCAATCACTACTTTGCATTTCATAAGGTATGCTACCACGTAGCCTTCGCATACACTGAAACCAAACTATTCAAAAGTGCCTAAACGCTGCTTAGTCTGCCACATTTTTCTCACCCCTTTCGAAATACTTGCCCATCTGTTCCGTAGCTGAACGTCGTGACCGACTGTGTGAGACCAGTGGAAGAGTTTCCGCCCTGTTGCTACTGTCCAAATACGCAGCACCGTGGCATTTCTGCGCCTTTTTTGCCGAAAAGGATAGGCCGAATCAGGTTTTAACCAGCCTCTTGACGTAGGCTTGGGCAGGCCGACGGCGCCCCGATGTGCGAAATTTTTTGAGAGGGAAACCGGAGTGACCCCGCGCTCCAAAAGATCTCATAGAGACCTCCTGAACGTGAGCGACTGCTTCTATTGTAAGAACCAGGATCTTATAATCCAAAATTGCAGGATCATGCAAAAGCCGAGGAACTTGAGCCACTAGATCGAGTCCAGGGAGGGCAAGCTGCTTGGAAAGCAAAGAAGGCACATCCAGTGATTGGCCAGATCCCTGCCTAGGCTGCAGCGTAGTGAAGGAGGCCACATCGGATGGAGGCGCAGTTCGGGACCAGACGTGGTTCGATTGTGTGCTCATACGAGTTCACATTAGAGATCGAGCAGGGCTAGCGCTACTTGGCGTGGATTTAGAAGTAGATCTGTTATCGGAGGTGAGGGCGTGGAAGTGCAGTCTGGCTGTTTTTTGGTGGTGCTGTCCGTTGACTCAAGCTTGTTGACGAACGGCAGAACTAAGGGATTGGCAAACCTACAAAGGTAAAAAGGGCTTTACAGTGGACTCTGGCTATATCAACATGGTCTGTGTCTTCTTTGGACCCGTGCAGCACAGACAAATGCTTGGTGTACCGTGGGCATCCAATGAAAGACGCGCATGTAGCCACGCTTGTGCAATGTGAAATCGATATTCAAAGATACGCTTCAAAAACCAGCAAGTCCTGGTCTCCTCAACAGTACTCCTTGCATCGATGGGGGAAGGGGCGCAGAGTTGGTCAATTATCAAGTGAAAGCAGAGTCCTCATACCGGGGCGATTTTGAGTATACATCGCGTCGTTGTGGCTACAAAACTGGTTCGCTATTAGGGACCTATTTATTGCTTGTCTAGCCAAAGAGCAGCAGGAATAGACAAGTGCTAAGAAGGAGCTCGGGAGTGTGCTATGTAACAACGAGTGGCAAGCAGGCTGCCCCCCTGCCAGTTGTCCAGCGCACCATATTGAGTTGACGTTCCAGTAATACTCGGTCCGTGTTCCGCATTATCAAAACACTTGCATGGCATGAAAGGAAGATCGACCAAAAGGCGGCTTTTTGGTTGAAAAGTAGAAGTGGAAGACATCTGGGCATAAGCTGGTGGTGGTGCCGACTACGGACTGAAGGGGCGGTACTTGCGTTCAGTTTAAGCTCCAGCGGAAGTTCACTGCGAGGCAGAAGTTCAGGATCCCTCGTTCCGATGAGTTACTTGCAACCCCTCCGGAAAAAACGTCTACTTGGCATCTTACTCAAAGATGCGTTTTCCACGAAATCTCATTTACTCTGATAGCAGGCACAAAACGGTGCCCCACACTCCCGTGTCCGCAAGGTTGACAATGCCTTTGTGCCTCTTTGGCCTGTTGCTGACCCCCCTAAACCGCAGTATAAAATTACCCCGGATGTTTATGAGCCTACGAAGAAAAAGTGTACTGCTGTCTAAATGGAAAGCATCGAAGTATTTAAGCACAACCCTATAGAGCGCCTACGGCCCCTACAACGGGCGCTTCAGCTGTTGCGGGTCAGGCAGTCGCATGTGAAGGCACGCATGCGTATGCTTCTTACTAAAACGATTTTGTATTTCGTAGGATTCTGTGCTCCGGTTGTTGGAATTAGGCCGTGCCCGAAAAGGTTGAGTCAATCGAATGTCCACTGACATTCTATTCTTAGCGTTGCTCATTTCGCTGCTCCTTTGAGTGATCTACTTGAAAGCGCGTGCATGCTCGGTGACTTTGACAAAGGAGGCTGATGCTGCTCCCAGGGTATTAATCGGCTGGCTCTACGCACCTTTGGTACCATCGCCAACGGATGATGAGCGCTGGATTTCCTTCATAACGCCCGATGTTGGTGACTTTGCGGTGGGTGCTATTAACTCGTAGCAAGATGCGGGCTCTCCAAGAGAATAAACTGTAGCTTATCATCCTGATTGTTTTACTATTATCTAAACACCGGTATCAAATGGGAGAAAGAATTCTATGCGGCGTGGGAGGGCGTGGAGAGCTTGCGTCACAACTGATATGTGCATCTCTTTACTGTCCAGACCGGCCACCAGTCTTTGAAGTACTCACAAAACGCTCTAAAACATAAATAATCCTCAAGGGGTTTGCTGGCTTGGCAGGCTGCGGCAGTATGATTTTATAGCAACGTATATCGAGGGCATATCCAAATTCGTCGCCGTTGCGCTCTCGCGACGCCCTAGCGACTCACTATTGTGCAGCTCATTCCCTCGTGTCTACGACCGTTTACACTTATATGTGACCTTCGTTATTCAACTGCTTTGATACTCATCTCTGCCACTTTTGCCAAAATATTCAACGCCAAAAGGATGCAGCACTAACACCTGTAGGATGACCACTTGTGGTTTCAAACAAAGCAGGCTCACCGCCACTTGTAAATCCTGACTTCGCTTCGCACGGCAATTTTGCGCAAAGCACATAATAATCTTCCTTCCGGCTACGGTGGAATTCATCATTACAATTAAAACCGCCCTCAGGAGCCCTGGTGGACTGATAAGCGTCCTGCCGCAGTCCCTGTCATCCCTTTATCGCCAGTGGCGGGAGTCATGCAGTTTTCTGAAGCACCGGTGTTTGCAAAACCTTCCCGCTCCCAAACGGACTTGTACTGATCTGACTACGGATGCTATTGTTCGAATGCCGCAAAGCACGGCGCGGATAGCACCTAGGTCGCTCTCTACAGTCTCGGCAGCTACGCCCATCTCATCACTTGTTCCAGCTCTGTCGCGGCTTAAAAAGTCGCCTAAGTATCCCTAATTCACTTTACCAGGCTCTAGGGATTCCTCAGGAATATCCTGATGGCTAGCGATCCGCAGTTTGTTAGTGCGCACTGGCGTGCCTTTGTGACCGCCTACCTACACAGCATTGAATGTAATGTGACCAATGCGAATCGCTCCGAGGCAGATGGGCAGACAAGGCACACCCACCGTACTCTCCTGCAGTACGTGTCACTTTGCACTTCTCATGCACATAATCATTCGCATTTGTGCGTGCCTATCAACGGGCGGTAGGACGGGAGTTCAGCTGAGCTATGAGTAACAAGAACATGCATTTCGCAGTAGCGGGCAAAGACTTCGGGGGTGAACGTACGTACGATTAAAGATTCGCCTAGTGCACTCTTCATATCGGAGAGAAACTGTGAATGTAGCTTAGACTTCGCATATTCAATTCGCCGCAGAGTACTGTGAACTCGGTTCAGGAAAAAGTAATGCTGAGTGCATGTGCGTCAGACGGTACAGGCAACTCGCTGTGGAGTGCTGACGATGCTGCGGCAGTGCGAAATTTAGCTGTGTTTCTGCCTCGCAGGGGAAGGAGGCACTACCAGTAAATGGTCGAGAGCTTTCTTCTGAGTCTGCAGAGGGTTTTTGGTGAAGCACTTCCCTGCGGAGGCTGTAGAGAAAGCTGTTGCACCGTGCGTCTTTTCTAGCCTTACTCTAGAGTGCCGAACCTTCGAGGGGCATGCGTTTGCATCCCCCACAGACACCAGGATGTCGCGTACACCGTTGTAGGCGAGATTCGGAATAAGGCGCCTCCGGTTCCCTTTACTAGGCATAAACTGCATCCATGCAGCAGCACTGCCCCTAGCCTTTGAGCGAGAGCGAGTGAGACGTGGCTGCGGCAGCCACAAGCACGTTCACGAACGTCTGTAGCGCCCAGCGAATTGCAGCAGCAGGACCCCTATGCTAATGCGCAAGCTGATTTATGACGGATGGGAGGGAGATACGCTCGACAAACTGGCTTGTGCCGCCACTCACAGCGTTTGACACACCCCAACGTCCAGACAGACAGCAGCAGCAGGCGCATCCTTGTGCCAGCGGCGGCTGCTGCTGCTGCTGCTACCGATATCCAGCGAATTCCCGACCGTAATAAGGCCCCTTCAGCAGATGCAGAAACGCTGTTTTACGCCATGCTTCTGCAAAAATACCCCGAGAACAACATCAAGAGGCGCTGCGTTGTCACTGTCGCCGACGCTGTGGGGGGTTGCATCCTAGGCATCGCAGCAGGGTGCAGCGGCGGGGAGCATGCGTGTGGCTGCTGCTGCTGCTGCTGCTGCTGCTGCTGCTGCGGTCCTTCAGGAGTGGCAACAACTGCGGGCAGCAACAGCAGCGCCAGTTGCTGCAGCTTCCCTAAAACGATGGGAGATGGATTCTGCCTCAGTGCCTTGCAGAGAGGCATGAGATTGGTTCGCCCTTGCAGACTGCGCGCGGAGCGTGGCGGCAGCAGCCGTAGCGGCAGCAGTACAGACGCGGCTGCTGCTGTCGTCTTAGTTCCTGCGCAGCCGTATCTGGGCTTTTGCAGCGACAAAAGCAGGCAGCAGCGGCATTATCGACCGCCCACGAAGTGTCTCTCCAGCAGCTGCAGCGCAGCAGCTGCAGAAGCGTCTTGCCGTGGCACCCCTCCCCCTTGCGCATACCGAGCTGCGTGGTTTGGCGGCTTCGTCCTCTCCCCTAAAGCCGAGGTTCTGTCGCGGAAGCGACCTTTTTCGTGGTATTACCCCTAATAACGCCTCTCGTGCGGCGCACTTTCGCCGTTGTTGCCACCCCGTCTTGGTGCAAAGGCAGCAGCAGTCACAGCCCAGCAGCAGCGCAGCTCACACAGCCTTAAGCGCGTGCATGCAGTCGCTCACCACGCGATTCAAAACTTCCCGTAAGCGCGCGATTGCAGCGCCCTTGCAGTCGCTAGGGGGCGTTTATTCGAAGGCCGTTTCTCACACGCAGAGAGCGAGAGAGAGAGAGAAACACAGAAGCAGCAGCATCGCGCCACCTCAAGCCGCTCACTCTAGGCAACAGAAGCAGACAGACAGACACTCAGACAGACAGACACTCAGACAGACAGACAGACAGACGGACAGACAGACAGCCAACTCCCTCCTCTCCTTCTCTCCTCCCCTCGAGACACATCTTGTCTCTCCGTGTATGGGGGCGTTAACGCCCCCTCGCTGGAAACGCGCGTATTTGAGACGCAGGATACAACGAGGCATCGCGGGAGATTTTTTTTGCCAGCGCGAACTCCGAGAAAAAGCAGCACCCCACAGACGTCGCCACAGCCGTTTCTGCTGTATCGACAGGCCCTTCGCCTCGACGCGCTCTCTCTCTCTCGCGCTCTTTCTCTCGCGCTCTCTCTCTCTCCGCACGCTGCACAAACAACGGAGAAGTCACGGGAGACGCGATCCAGGCATCCAGCGTATCACGCCTCTCGCACAGCACAGCGCTCCTAGCGCTGCTGTTGCTCTTCCTGTCTCTTCGCAGCATCCGCTTTTGTCTTCGCTGTGTCTATGGAGACACAGTTCCCCAGCATAGGTCGTCGGCTGCCTGTAGCAGCTCGACCTGTGAAGATTGCAGTAACGGTGGCTGATTCAAAAGATCTGCTTCCAAAGGCAAGCTCTTCAGAGAATTCTGCTGCACCCTTCCTGTTTCTTCCCCCACTTCCTCCTCCTCCTGCCTGCCCCCTCTACCCCCCTGTGCTTGCTTTGTTGAACTCGATTACTCCCCTCTCGTGGCATCTCGCCTTCCTTGTTTCTACACTCCGTTGCTCGCACCCTCCCCCCCTAAGCCGCCTACAGAGAGATGCCCACATCTTTTTGCATCGGAAACATACGTATATATATATACGCACTGGCAACGCGAGCTGCTTCTCTTGCTGCTGCAACAGGCTTGTTCCCCGTTATGCGCGCCGTTAAATATTTGTCTAATGCTGCGAATCCAGCAGCAGCGACCTGCGATCACTTCAGGCGCTTGCGGGGGGGGGGCTTTCTACATGTATATATATATATACATACACATATATATATATATGCATGCATGCATGCATGTATATATGTACATCTATATGTGTTATAGCGGTGTCATGAGGCCATTCTTGCCACGGTGATTGGGGTGTTGTGGCTTAGTTCCTCCCTCCCTCTCAGTGTGTGTCTGTGCGCAAGGCACCCTGTTGCTTCTTTCTCATACATCATGTGCATGCACATACAAGCATATATATATACATATATGTCTATTCATACATTCATGTGCATGCACATACAAGCATATATATATATATATGTCTATTCATTCATGTGCATGCATATACAAGCATATATATATATACATATATCTGTTCATACATTCATGTGCATGCATATACAAGCATATATATATATATGTCTATTCATACATTCATGTGCATGCACATACAAGCATATATATATATATATATACATATATGTCTATTCATACATTCATGTGCATGCACATACAAGCATATATATATATATATACATATGTCTATTCATACGTTCACGTGCATGCATATACAAGCATATATATATACATATATCTATTCATACATTCATGTACATGCATACACAAGCACATATATATATATATATATCTACATGTATATATATGTGTATGCATATAGACTTGCACACATACATGTATCTTCTCTCTCTGCTGCCTCAGGCACCCCCCGTAGTTCGCAAATGGGCAGTTCCTTCTCCTGGAAGTAGCACTGTCTGTCGACCATCTCTCGCAGTGGCGGCTTCTTTTCCACCTGTGTCTACTGCAGCAGCTTCTCGCCAGCAGCAGCAGCAGCAGCAGCAACAGTCGACGTCGCAAACGCGAGGAGGCGTGGCAGCAGCGTTGCCTCAGGGGAGTGGGGGAGTCGCCTTTCAAACTCCTTGGAAACTTCCTCTTTCTTCGCAACAGCATTTACCTCAGTCTTTGAAGGACGGCAATGCAGCGTCTTCCAGCGCTGCTGCAGCGCCTACAGTCACGATGACAACTGCTGCTCCATCCGGCTCGCGATCTGCTGAGACGTCGCCAGGAGCGGCAGCAGGAGGAGCAGCAGCAGCAGCAGCTGCTGCAGTACCCCTGACGACAAGTAGCACTGTCAGCCTTACCGTTCTCGCGCCATCTGGAGCACCCTCTGGAGTAAAAGGAATTTCTCCCGTTGCTTCTGTTGCTAGCGCCAGCGGGGTGACTGCAACGTCAGGATGTGAGGCTTTTTTCGCATATCCGTCTGTCCTTTTGTGTTTGTCGCCGTGCACGACGCCATGTGTTTCAAAGGCAAAGTTGTATACATTGATCGACATACATATACATATATATATGTTTATATATATATATATGTGTATATGTTTCGACGTGTGTGCATTTTACGTATGCATGTATTTGTGTATCTATATATCTATATATATGTATATGTGTCTCTCTCTCTCTGTATGTGAACATATGTTTGTATATATATATATATATAAACGCCCACGGGGCATGCCGTTACATAGCGATGTTTGGGAGATGCTTTGGAGGTTGCAGAGGAGAGTCTAGCGCATGTATGTGCATCTGCGCCTGTTTGAAGAGCAGCGTAGCGTCTTTGCATTAGCCACGATACGTGCATGCCTCCGCGTGTTTCCAGTGCACGTGTTTCTCGTTTTCTGGTGCGTGTGACTGCAGCGTTGGTGACGACAGCAGGAGCAGCCGCGAATTCTCTTTCCTCGGATTTAGCGCTAGGGGGATCAGTGTCTCTCTCTACGTTGATAGCGAAGAGCAACAGAAAAGGTATGCTGCTCAAGCGCGTGCGGCTTTGGGGAAGTTGAAGCTGCCTAAGGAGGGCAGAGGGGCGGTGCAATTTGCGCCGCACTTAGAATATACTGTGGCATGCAGTCGCACAGCCTGCATGCGAAAGACGGCGTCGTTTGCTGGTTGCTCTTCTTCTTGAGGAGGGAAGGGAAGGAATAGGTGTTTTTTGCTTTCTTGGGGTTGCATTCTTCACTTTCCAGTGGGGATGCATTTCTTACTTTGTAGTGGGGATTCATTTTGTTACTTTGTAGTGGGGATTCATTTTGTTACTTTCTAGTGGGGATTCATTTTGTTACTTTCTCGAGGATTCATTTTGTTACTTTCTAGTGGGGATTCATTTTGTTACTTTCTCGAGGATTCATTTTGTTACTCTCTCGAGGATTCATTTTGTTACTTTTTAGTGGGGATTCATTTTGTTACTTTCTAGTGGGGATTCATTTCTTACTTTTTAGTGGGGATTCATTTTGTTACTCTCTCTCGAGGATTCATTTCTTACTCTCTCGAGGATTCATTTTGTTACTTTCTAGTGGGGATTCAGTTTGTTACTCTCTCGAGGATTCATTTTGTTACTCTCTCTCAAGGATTCATTTTGTTACTCTCTCTCGAGGATTCACTTCTTGCCCTCTCAAAGCTTTTTTTCTTGCTTTTTTAGGTTGTTCTTTTTCTCGGAAGCGTTTTTTTCTTTGCGTGGGAAGGAGACTGCGTTTGTTCGGGTATGTGTGTGTGCTGCGTGTGCGCCTTGCTTTGTGCAGGCATAAGTGTGAGCGTGCGAGGACGTGCTGTCAACACACTTGCGGGGAATGCGAAGCCTTCTGGCTCGGCTTGGAAGAGCAGCAGCGCTGCAGATGCCGTTGGGCTGACAACAGCAGCGGCGACGGCGAGTGGAGGGGGGGGGGGAGCACCCCCTCTCGCGAATGTTTCTTCGGGAGGCAGCGCTGGAGCGGAGTTTGGCGTCTTGTCGTTGCCAGCGTCGGGAGTTTCCGCCGTTTCCGGCGAGCGAGGATCCTACGCCTTGCTAGCGAGGCAGCCGCATGGCAGCGGGGGGAGCCTGCTTTCTGGAGCCAGCGCGAGCGGCGGCGCGGGAGGAGGAGTTGGAGGAAGGGGAGCGTATTCTTTTTTTGGGAAGGAGGATGGCGCGGGGGTGAGGGGGAGCGCAGTCGCGGCAGCAGCTGCAGCAGCTGCAGCGGCTGCTTCCTCCCTCTCGGATGAGGCGTATCCAGATCTCCTCAAGTCTGCTGAGAGGGCACGGCACGAGTCTTCTAGGGAGCGGCAGAAGCTGCGACGATCGAGAGGCTGTCTCCCTCTAGGCAGCGGAGGCAGTCCGTCGACGAGGCAGAAAGACGGCGCGTCGCAGAGTTTAGCCAGTGGCACGCAGCAGAGTGCTCCAAAGAAGGTTGGGTTGCAGCAGCTGCACGAGCTGCAGTCTGCAATGACGGCTGCAAAGGCTGCCTCCAGCAGCAGCAGCAATAATAATAATAATAACAGCGTACTGCTCTCAGCGTCTGGCGAGTTGTACGGAGAACAGGCGTTCGCGAGCTCTCCAGCACACACCAAGGGGACTGTCAACACGCCTGCTGCCGCTGCGAATACAACTACTCCGACCGCTGCTGCTGCTAATAGTGCTGCTTTGTCGCGAGCGCCCCCTCCGCCTCCGCCCCCCCCCCCTCCCTCGAGCTTTCCGCCGCTCGTTGCTGCTCCTTTCGCCTCCGCGACAGGATCTCTTGAGGGGCAGCAGCAGCACGCGCGACGCACGCACAATCATCACCACCCGCACGCTCACAATCACCACCATCACCATCACCAGCACGCGCACAATCACCACCAGCACACGCACAACCACCACCATCAGCAGCAACAGGGGGTGGCGGAGCTCCAGCAGCAGCACCAGCAGCCGCAGCAGGAAGTGCTCGCTCAGCAGCAGCGCGATTTGCTGCGGCAGCAAGCGGAGGAGTGTCTGCGGTCGGAGGCGGAGAGGGAGAGGGAAATGCGAGAAAGAGCTCTCAAAAAGCTGCAAGAGCTGGATGCTCGACTCGCCGCTGCAGCCAAGAAGACGTGCAGCACAGCTTCCCCTGCAGCGGCAGCAGCAGAGACGACGTCGCACCACGAAAGTTTGCCTCACCCCTCCTCCGCGAAGTCGCAACAAGACAAAGAGACGTGGAGACACATGCAGACACCCCTTCTGCCGCCAAGTGACTTGACTGCGACACGGGTGCCTTCTCCGAAGGGAGGCTTACTGGCGCCTGTGCAGCAGCAGCAGCAGCAGCAGCAGCAGCAGCAGCAGCAGCAGAGCCTCAGCGGAGGCCCTAGTTGGCGCTCTCGATGCAACAACGCTCCCCGGGATCGGCGACAGCAGCAGCAGCAGCAGCAGCAGCAGCAGCAGCAGCAGCAGCAGCAGCAGCACGGGCTGTATCGGCGACAGCGCCTTGCTCAAGAGCAGCCTGAAGGTCAGCAGCAGCAGCAGCATGACGACAACAGCAGCAGCAGCGGCAGTCGAGGCGCTGCTGCTGCTGCTCCCTGTGAGGAGCTGCGCTGGCGAAGTGGTGGATCACGTCACCAGCAACAGGGAGAGGCTGCAGTGCGTGAAGATCAGACGGCTGCAGCAAGTTTGCCAACAAAGCAGCAGCTTCCGAGAGGCATGTTGCCTCTTCCAGGAGCCTTGCGAGGACGTCCAAGGTGCCCTCCTATCGATGATTTGGATGCGCTGCAGCAGGAGAAGCAGCAGCAGGAGAAGCAGCAGCAGGAGAAGCAGCAGCAAGAAAAGCAGCAGCAAGAAAAGCAGCAGCAAGAAAAGCACACCGCATTGCGCCCTCAGACTTGGAGGGTCGGCGCTATGGGCAGCATGCGAGACAGCGAAAAGCAGCAACAACAACAGCAGCAACAACAGCAACAACAGCAGCAACAGCAGCAACAACAGCAACAACAACAGCAGCAACAGCAGCAACAGCAACAACAAGGTACTAATGCCGCCGCTGCAGCAGCCGCTGCTGTGGGTAGCAAGTGGGGGACTGAAGGCGCTGCAGCGAAGGTTGCTGCAGCTAAGGTTGCTGCAGCGCAGACGCAGAAGGGGGGGGCGGCTGCAGCAGCGTCAGGAGGAACAGGTTTGTATGTGGCATCTGCTCCGAAGGGGCTTCACAAGAATGCAAAGTTGTGGCAGGTGTGCAGTGCTTCCTTCCCAGCAGCGCCTCCTCCGACGGCAGGCGTGAGCGGCGGCGACTCCGCAGCGGCGAGTGAAGCGGCGTCTGCGCCGGAGACTGCGACAGGAGCGCCAGCAGGAAAGCAGGCAGGAAGCCAGTCGAAGCAGCGCGGAGGGGGGGGGGGAGTTTCTGCTGCTGCTGCACAGCACAAAGTGGCGGGAGCAGCCGGAGATTTGTCTTTCAAGGCGTTGCTGTGGCCAAAGGGTAACACTGGTCCTCAAGTGCGTGTTGCAGCAGCTGATCAGCAGCAGAAACAGCAGCAGCAGCAGCAGCAGCAGCAGAAGCAGCAGCAGCTAGGAGAAGCCGCCTCCGGAGAGCAGCACTGTGTCTCCTCGGGGGGAGAAGGCGCCTTTCGCGTGGGGTTCTCCGAGGGGACGGCGGGAGAGCAGCAGCAGCAGCAGCAGCAAGGGAGTGGGGGGGGAGTGGCATCCGGTGTAACGACAGCTGCTGCTGCCGTTGGGGGGGCGGAAGGGCGTCGCCAGCAAGCGCCTCGAGGCTGGGGGAGTGTGGGTAGAGCTGAGGTGTCTGTACTGCCGCTTGCTGCTGCTGCGGGAGCGGATTCGACGGCATGGCCTTCTCCAGACGCTGCAGTCGAAGTGGCAGCAGCAGCAGCTGCTGCTGCTGCTGCTGCTGCGCAAAACAAGGCAGTTGAAGCTGTTCGCGGAGCGGCGAAGGCGGGAGAACCTCCTGCCGCAGCGCGTGGCATGCTCACAAGCGGTGGCAGCAGCCATGCGGCGAGGCAGCGGGGTGCAGCAGCAGGAGCAGGAGCAGCAGATGCAGCAGGAGCAGCAGATGCAGCAGCAGCAGATACAGCAGCAGATACAGCAGCAGCAGATACAGCAGCAGCAGATAAAGCAGCAGCAGATACAGCAGCAGCCTCTCACAGGGAAGGACGGCGGGGGCGTAACGGGAGCCGTGCCGGAGCAGCCGCTGCATCTGCTGGCAGTGCTGCTGCTGGCAGTAGTGGCACTGCTGCTGCAGGTAAGTTTGGCAGCAGCAGCAGCCAGCAGCAGCAGCAGCAGCAGCCGCTGCTGCTGCTGCAAGGCTTCTCGGGGTCGCCTGAAAGCAGCGCGGGAAATCATCAGCATCGCGAGCAGCAGCATCGCGAGCAGCAGCATCGCGAGCAGCAGCATCGCGAGCAGCAGCATCGCGAGCAGCAGCAGCTGCAGCGTGGAGTTGGAGGGTATAAGGGAAGCGCTTCCGCAGCTGCAGGCAGCAGGAGCCCTCTGTCGTCTCCCGAGACGTCGTCGCATGCGCCTTGTGCTCGAGAAAAGCTCCAACAGCGCTGCGGCGAGAGGAGGGCAGGAAGAGGCAGCCGTCTTAGCGCACAGCAGTCTGCAGCACAGCAGTCTGCAGCAGGAGTGTCGGAGGCTTCTCAGGAGCGAGGAGGGCAGCCGCGAGGAGTCTCCAAGAGCTTGGTCGCTCCGCGAGGAGGCTCTGGAAGGGAGAAGCAGCAGTTCGTGACGGCTTCTGGCATGCTGCGCGCCGTGCTTGCGGCAGAAGACGCTGCTGCTGGCAAGGGGAAGCTCCCTCCTCGAGTAGCGCCTTCTGGGGAGACTCGGAAGGGCTGGTCGTCTGCGGGAGCGTCGGCGAGAGAGCGACGCTCTGCGGCGGAGAAGGAAGATTCGCACAGGAGTGGGGGGGGGGGGCAGAGTCAGCAGCAGCAGCCAGTGCAGCAGCAGCAGCCAGTGCAGCAGCAGCAAGGAGGCGCGAAGCAGCACGGCAGTCAAGTCGTGTGGCTCCCGAAAGGCGCAGCGGGAGCTGCGCCTTCGAAGGAGCAGCAGACAGGAGCTGTGGCAGCAAGTAGTGCAGGAGAGACACCAGGAGCCGCTGCTGCTGCTGCTGCTGCTGCTGCTGCCTCAGTCTCTGCAGAAATTCATCACGAGGCGCAGGCGTGGAGTCGCAAAGGACGGGGCGGTAGTGGACGTAGAGGAGGCGACTCTGCAGCAGCTGGAAGTTCATCTGCAGCGAGTGGCGACGGTGCAGCATCAGCAGCAGCTGCTGCTGCTGCTGCAACACCAACACCTGCAGCAGCAGATGATGACGGCTTCCAGATTGTTCGCAATAAGCGGAAGGAGCAGCAGGAAAAGAGACGGGAGAGACTCGAGCAGCAGAAGCAAGAGCGTCGAGAAGCGCGGCGGCGTGATCAGCAGCAGCAGCAGTTGCAGCAGCAGCAATTGCAGCAGCAGTTGCAGCAGCAGCAATTGCAGCAGCAGCAGCAACAAGTGCCGCTGGCGTCATCCCCGTTGAAAGTGCAATCTGCTGCTTCGAAGCGCATGCCTTCACCGGCCCCTGCTGCGACTCCCCAGCAGCAGAAGCAGAGACAGCAGCCGCTATTGTTGCAGCAGCAGCAGCAACAGCGTGCTGTGGATGGCGGCAACTGCCACACGAGCGAGCAGAAGGAGCAGCGAGAGCAGCAAGAGCCGCCGTCCTCTCCACGCACGAGCAGTACCAAGCATGCGACTGCAGCAGTTGGCAGCAAGCTGGCTGCTGCCGCGGGGGGAGATTCGAGCTCGTCGAGTCACCATCTGCCTCAGCAGCAGCAGCACCAGCAGGAGCAGATGGAGACTTCTCAGGATTGTGAAGTGCGCGGCAATGACAGCAGCGCTGAGGGGGAAGTGGCGATAGTGGCGATGGCTTCTAAGCAGCCTGAAGAAGCAGCAGTTCATTGTTGGCAAGAGGAAATTCCGACGCTGCCGCCTTCACAGCAACACGCTGTTGCTTCCTTGCAAGCATCGTCGGCATCCTCGCAGCAGCAGCAGCAGCAGCAGCGACAGCGACAGCAACTCGACCAGCAGCAACAACAGCACCTCGATCAGCAGCAGCACCAGCAGCAGCACCCTCAGCAGCAACAGCAACAGCAACTCGATCAGCAGCAGCACCAACAGCAGCATCATCAACAGCAGCATGCAGGATTGAGCCGCGCCAGCAGTCCAGGTACGCTGAGGGCGAGTGCTGATCCTTGGTATCCGACACCGACAGGCGTTGCAGCAGCAGCAGCAGCTGCTGCTGCTGCACTTCCGCAGCAGCAGCTCCTTGCGTCTGTGGCTGCCCATCATCACCAGCAGCAGATGCATCAGTTGCATCTCAGGCACATACAGCACCAGCACCTGCAGCAGCAGCAGCAGCTGTATCAGCATCAGCAGCAGCAGCAGCTGTATCAGCAGCAGCAGCAGCAGCCGCCCAAGACAGCAGCAGCAGCAGCAGCGACCCCTCCTGGTGTCGTGGCGACTCCTGCCGAGGCGGCAGCAGCAGCAGCGGGCTTCTCGCTGTGGAGCAGCAACTTCGCGCAGCCAGCTCCTCCCTCCCGCGTAGCGCCTGACACGATTGCAGCCATATGGGCGAGAGATCCTGGTGTATCTGCAGGGGGGGGGGGCCCCCCCGAGCTGCTGCCTCTGCAGCAGCAGCTGCAGCAGCAGCTGCAGCAACAAGCGCAGCCAAGAGGCATGCCCTTCCCGGCGCAGCAGGTCCACCCCGCGCTGCAGCATCAGCAGTCGCTGCTGCACTCCGACCTCCTGCATGCGCAGCAGCAGCTGCTGCAGCAGCAGCAGCTGGCGAGCGGCGCGACACCGGACGCTGCGGATCCGACTGCGGTGTATGTACAGCAGCAGCAGCACTTTCGCAATGCAGCAGCGGCAGCAGCCGTGGCAGGCAGCAGACCCAAGGACCTCTTTGGGAGCGCAGTGCTCGTGCAGGGGGGGGTGGGGGCCCTGGGGGGGCCCCTAGGGGGGCCCTTAGGGGGGCCCCTGGGGGGCCCCCTGTCTCAGCACTCGCGTCCGGATGCCTATGGAGTGGGGCATACGCCTAGCGGGGCCCCCTTTTCCGCGGTGTCTGGAGGGGCCCCATTCCATGTGCAGCAGCAGCTGCTGCAGCCCTCCTCTTTCCACTCTTCCCAGCCAGCGGGTGCTCCTCCTGCTTCCTCCTTTGCGCAGCAGCAGCAGCTGCAACAGCAGCAGCTGCAGCAGCAGCTGCAGCAGCAGCTTCAGCAGCAGCTGCAGCCGCACGATGGCGATCTTTGGGGGGATGTGCCTGCCGCTTCTGCAAGAGTCTCGGCAAATGCGGTCAGCGCGGGAGCACCCGTGAGCTTGGAGCCTTCCGCATTAGATCAGCAGCAGCAGCAGCAGCAGCAGCAGCCGTCCTTTGTCCCCTACATGCAGCAGCAGCGGCAGCGCAACGGCCAGTACGGAATGCTGAGCCCACTGGAGGCGGCAGGGGGGGGAGGAGGGGCCCCTCACCCGGGGGGGGGGCCCTCTCCTACAAAGTTCTACATGTAGGGAAAGAGGGGAGGGGTGTGGCTGGCATGATCTGCGCCTTTTTCCCGCTTTCGCTCTCTGTCTCTGTCTGTCTTTCCCGCAATCCTGGTTGTCGCCGCTTGGCTTTTGACCAGCAGCATGTTGCTTGCAGGAGGCAGCAGCCCCGAGCAACGGAAGAAGCTCGGCAGGGGGGCAGCCAGCACCGACCTCTGTTGGAGGGTTTGCGTGTGAGTGCGTGTGAGTTTGTGTGTTTGCGCCGCTCCCTCTGCTGGCCTTTAATTTCGATGTGATGCTGTCACCCCAGAGTAGAGAGAGAGGCTTGCGTCTTAGCTAGTTGGAGGTTTCTGCGGGCTCACTCCTAGTTGTCTCCCTAATGCCAGCATGGATTGGCATTAGGGAGCGCATGTAGCGCGGCTCTTTGTGGGGAGCGGCAGCAGGCTTCTCTCCGTTGGATGTTGCGAGTCTCCGAACGAACACGGCGTAGAATCTCCGCCTGCCGCGAGCAGTGCAGCGACTGTTCGTATGGGTAGAGAGGAGGGAGGCAGGGGAAAAAAAGGGCCGAAAAGAGAAACGGCTCGCGAGCAGCTGGCAGTACTTGCTGCAGCGGCCGCCTGCCTGTCACTTAGGGCGCTTCGTGCATGCAACAGCGGTCGGGCACGGGGTTATGCCGCTTGTTGACGGTGTGTTGTGGTTGGTGGGAAGAGACGCTGGAAAGAATGCTGCTTTTGCGTAGAAGTCTACGAGCACCGGCATCGTGGGAGGGGGCGAGGCTGCGCTGGCAGCTGCAGCTGCTTGCGTTCTAGCGGTACGCAGGGTTGTAGTCTGTGTATCTACACACGGGAAGGATGCGAAAAGATCAGAGGGACGTGGATCTAGGTGCTATAGGCTTGCCTCTTTAAGAGGAGAGAGGGAGGGAGGGGAGAAGGAGAGGAAAGGGAAGGGGCGTGTCAGCGGAGTGCGGTGCCTTGGAGAAAGCAGGCGCCTGCGCTGCAGCTACATGCAGATCGCTGGAGGTTTTAAAGCGGGAGGAGTTCGTCGTATATGGCGGACGCGTGGCAGTATTCCGTTGCGAGTTAGGATTCGGCGTCAACCAACTCATTCTTCTTGCATGCATAAAATGCACTTTGTGCACGCAAGAAGAATGAGTTGGTTGATGCCGTGCAGGAAATAGTTTTTCTAGACGCGCGCGCTCACTGGTGTGGATACTTCGGGGGGGTGGGGAGGGGGAGGGAATGTCGTGGAGATCAGTTCTCCTCTGGAGGCAAGGTTTCTTTCTTGAAGTTCGTGTGCGGAAGATGGGAAAGACGCATGGCGTGTTCAGGGTCTGTGTGGGAGGGGAAGGGGGGCGTGTATTGGGTAGTAGCTGGTTGTTTGCAATCGTTTTCCTTGGTGGAGGGAGTTTTCAGCGGCAGCACTTTTTGCAGTGACGCGGGAGAAATGGCGCCTAGAGCAGCCCTCCATAAGACGAAAGCTTTCGTCGCCGCTTGCCGCTGCACAAAGGCAGCATTGCATCGGCGTGCGCTGTACCACTCACCGCCTTGCGCTGTAACAACTTTTTACCTCGGGCTAAATATTTTTTCTCTAACTTCCCTCGAGACAGGGGGAGTGCAGCGAAAAACTCGCAGCGCGAGGGAAGACAGCCCTTCTCATGGCGCCGCAGGCGCGTTGCAGTGTATAGGGACCGCCTCAGGCGAGGCGTGTGGAGGACAGGGGACGTGTCATTCAGCAATTCTTTTTTTGAAAATGGCTTGGCGTGCCTAGGTGAGTGCCTTCCTTCTATTGTGGCGCGGTGTGGACGCAGACTATGGGGAGGATGTTCGTACCCCGTGATATTATCGGTTCTTTCGTGCACTGTCTGCAGGTCGAGGCGCAGGAGGCCTCCCTCCGGCGCATGCATGCGGGAGGGCGCCAATGAATTTTTCCCCGAACGTCCATGTAGGGAGTAATAACCCGCCTTCAGAAAAGCACGATGAGAGGCACCGTCCTCCTGCTCGCGGGTGGGAGGGAGAAGCCACCTGAAGCGCACACAGCAGCCCCAAGCACTTGGGGGGGTCCCTTGAGGGGGAAACTCATGCCTGCCTAGCCTAGCGGTGATGACAGCATCAGTAGGGCAGCCGCACGGCGTCTGTGGCCTTAATTTGCTCTTAATTCCTTCCGGTGCTGTTGTGGCTCGAAGCTTCTCGTGATTCGTGGAGTGCTGAAACGGCAGGGGTTTCGCCCAGCCTGGGCGCGAGCGAGCAAGGGGGGCCCTCCTTGGACGGTTCTTCCGTGCAAAAGGCTTCCCCAGTGTCTCTCGGTTCATCTTTATTCTTCTCTTCTTTGTTTCCGTTTCGGAAGACACTTGACCCCCTTCCGCCCCCGCTTTCCCCTCCAAGTTCGGAAAGGGCCGCTACTATACGCGGCTGGATCAGCAGGGAGGCCCCTTCACTCCGGCACGATGAGTCGATGTGCCGCTTAACCCCCCCTGTGGCCGTCTTTATATTGTTTTTGGAGAAAAAGATCTGCTGAGAAGGGCGGGGAAAGGGGCTTCCTCCCAGGATGGTGTTGCTCGAGTTGTGGCAAGCGCTGCCCGTCAACCTGCAGCGCCGGCTCACTAGCACGGGGCGACTCTACAGCAAGTACAAGTTCCTGGTATTGCGGTTCGATCGGAGAACTGGATTCTTTTCCGCAGGTAACGCGATGTCAGAGAGGGAGGGGGGAGGGAGGGCAGCGGCACTGCACCACTGGGCGGCAGAGGCAGCGCGACTGAACAGTGCATGTACATACACCAGAGTTGCTTCTGGCCAGCACTCCCGATTAATCATGCAGGAAGCGGCGTAGCCGTTGCGAAACGCGGATTCAAAACTAATCTGCCCTATCTCACGCATATCTGCGTGCTCTCATGTGTGCGCTGTCGTTGAAACTCCCTCTTCAGCGATGCCTATGGCCATCTTGCTCGGAACTACTATCGCCGCAGGCACCGCCATCCTCGACAAGCAAATGGAAATTCGCTATTGGCGTAGGCAGTCCGTTTCAGAGCGAGAATTGCAGCAGCAGGAGCAGCGAGAGCAGCTGTTTCAGTTTTTGCAACAAACAGTGCCTCCTGAAGAGCTCGACAACTCGGTACCATTGCCTGGGAAGTAAAGTCGCCGCTGTGGTGTATACTTACGCGCGTATTGCTACTTTTCCCTCTCTCCTCCCTGCCCCCTTCTCCCTTATCTTCCCCCCTTTCCCCCCCGCCCCCCCAATGCCAACCGGATTTTGCGGCGATGCAGCGCGGCAGGAAGGCGGGGGGCAGGCGAACGCTGGCGATGAACTTTTGCCGCAATCGTAGCCTCGTATATATATATATGGATGTATATACACTGCTTTGGTGCTTTTTCGTAACGCGTGTCAGAGCGAACAGCGCTGTCAGACCAGGCACGGGCTGCTCGGTAGGTAGAGGCACCGAAGCAGCTGTACAGACAGCAGGGAAGCCGCCTGTGTCTGGCGCATGCCCTGCGACGTCTGGCCGCACCATCAGCAGTCGTCAAATGGTGTATACTAACGTGTGTTGCAAGAGCAGAAAAAAACACAACTAGGAAATCGGCGAGAGGCACCGAAAGATCAATCCAGCAACGTGTAGGCCCCTCCCCTCCCCCTCCGCTGTTTCTCCAAACCAGGAAGCTGTTTTTCCACCCACTCGAACGGAGCACAATGCGCAGCGCCTGCAGCAGGCTGCTGCTGCGCACACAGAGTGAAACTCCTATCTGACGCGGCGGCTGCCATGAGGAAATGCACAGCCTCTGCCCCAACCTCCGCGTTAAAGGGAGGCGCTCACTTGAATGGGCTGCATGCAGCAACTACGCCTTCCAAGAGAGTTCTCAGAACGAAGCGGCGTGCTTCTCTTATTGCCGCCACGGCAACACTGTGTGTGTGTGTCTGTGTATGTGTCTGTGTATGTGTCTGTGTGTGCATGCGGCGGAGACAAATCTAACACGCTGCCTTTGCGCATGTGTTGCCTAGAGCCAAAGCATCTAGTGTTTTAGGGGCTTAAGGCCTAAATCCTTCCTGATGTCATTCCACTCCGAGACGGATAACTCGCCGTCCTTCTGATGGCTCCTTGGCACCTCCTCCTTAATTGTTCGCTTGCTGCTGCTGCTGCTAATTCCATTTGCTGCTGCTGCGGTTCGACTTGTATGCCTTTCCCTTTCCGATTTGATCTCCCGTCGGTGATCACGATCTCTGTCATGCTCTTTCTCCTTGTCTCGCTCCCGCCTCTCTCGCTCCCGCCTCTCTCGCTCTCGTCGATCCTTATCCCTTCCTCTGTAACTCTCCGCCTCGTGATCTCTCTCCCTGTCTCTCTGCCGTCCTCTGTCATAGTCACGCTCTGTGTCTCGTTCTCCCCGCTGCTCTCTTTCCCTCTGTCTGTCTCGCTCTCTTTCCCTCTGTCTGTCTCGCTCTCGTTCTCTTTCTCTCTCTCTTTCTCTCTCTCGTTCTCGTTCTCTTTCTCGTTCTCGCTCCCTCTCTCTCTCTCGTTCTCTCTCTCTCTCCCTCTCTCGATCTCTGTCTCTGTCCACCTCTTCGTGGCGCTTGACGCGTGTGTCGTCTGGTGCTGTCTCGGCTTGCAACTGCCGCGCTTGCTTCTCTTCCTCTATCTTTCGCTCCTGCTGCAGTTGTCTGCTGCGCTGCTGCTGCACGTGCTGCTGCAGTTTCTTCTGCTGCTGTTGCAGCAGCCGTTTGCTCAGCAGCAGCGCATGCGCCTGAGCCTCCGTCATGGGGACGTTTCCATCGGTGTTGACTTCGTCCTCCAGTGCAGAGAGGCGCACTGCTGGCAGCAGCTGCTGGTCGACAAAGATGTTTCGCTTAGCGAGAGGCGGCAGATCCACGTCGAAAAGCGTATTCTTCCGCAAGCAATCGTCAATCAATTCATCAACATGGCGCAACACAAACCGACCACTGCTTTCTCGAACGCGCAGCTTCCGGTAGTCAGCTAGCAGCGGCTCGAGGTGTATGTACACATCGTCGCTACGTGCAGTGAGCCGGAAGTAGAACGCCGCAACTGCCCGGAGATACTTGAAGTCTTCCTGCTTCAGATATTCGAGAATAATCTCCTTCTCCGGCTGAATCTGCAACAGTTTCAAAACAATGCAGAGAAATGGAGAGGGCGTACGAATGCCTCCGTAAGTGCCTCCGACGTATTGCAGCTGCACGGCAACGTCCACGATGCTTTCTGCAGTGGCTGCAAAACAGTCGTTCTTCCAGAAAAAGCTCTCGTATACCTTGCGTCGCACGATTCTGCTGAAGAGTAATTGCGGGTTCTTCCCATGGATGGTGACAGCTGCCACATCCGTGCGGTTTGCCATCGTCACTTGTTGGCAGGAGCACCACTGCACGGCAAGTGCCAAGGAGCAATGCGTATAGCTTGGAATCGCCGCGAGCAGGCAAGAGGGAAAGCCTGCCTGCGGCGGCAAGACTGGAATAGACGCGTCGGGGATAAAGATGAAGAAAGCGAGAGGGAGACAGAGGAAGATCTAAGCATGCACTGCTGAATTCGAGGTCGTGCTTGAGAGGATGAAGGGTTTGACGATCATCCTACACGCCTGCTTCTAGCGTCCCACACGCGAGTCTTCATTGCTCCAGACGGACGCGAAACGCACAGAAATGCCACAGGAAAGGCGGTAGAGGAAGTTTCCAACGACAGCGCTGTAGCGCCTAGTTGACAGCACTCTGGCCCTTACGGCGGTGCTGCTGCAGTTGCTGTAGTTAGAAGGCTGCAGAGGAATAGAGCACCTAGGTGAAATAAATTCGCTTCCGAGAGGAGCAGCAGCTGCTACCTCCTAGAGAAAGGAAGAAGCGCCTTTTCTGCAGTAGCTGCAGCAATGGGCAAGCAGGAGATGAGATGCAGGCAACGGCTCTTGAACGCAGCGACAGCCGCAGCCACCACGGCGAGAGTACCTCCGCAGAAACTACAAACAAACGAGAAAGGGAATATTGGGGGGAGTTTCTGCGGCGAGAAGCGCTTGCATTCTTCCAGCAGCTGCTGCTGCGACGGCGGCTGCTGCTTTGTGCTGCATGCAAGCATGCAGCAGGAGGCGCTGCATGCTGCCCCTGCAACGCAGCCGCTCCATGAGGCATTAAAACATCGGGAAAAGCTTTGCATTGCACGCATTCCTCCCGAAATCACACTAGGGGGGATTCTCTCAGGTGTCTTTCCGTCGTGCAGCGAACTCTTGGTGCTGCAGGAGCTGCGGCTGCTCCTGCTCTGCATGTTGCATTGCATGCAACACGGGCAAGGGCAGGCAGCTCAGGCAGCAGCAATTGCCAGGGTTGATTGGGGATGCATTTCTGCGTTAAATCATGACGTCTCCTTCGGAATGCATGGTGGGAAGTTCGGCGGCTAGCGGCAACAGCAACGCCACTAGCAGCAGTAGTAGCATGAGCGCAAGCAAAAGCAGCAGCAGTAGCAGCACTAACAGTAGCAGCACTAGCAATTGCACCAGTAATGGCGATAGCAGAAATGGCAATAGCAGCAGCAACAAAGGCAGAAGCGCTTGCAGCAGCAATAGCAGCAGCAGTAGCAGCAGCAGTACCAGCAGCAGTAGCAGCAGCCTGAGCAGTGCGGCGTTCGTTGGATCTTCTCTGCTTGTGACGGCACCTCGCAGACTCAGGCGCCTTCTCGTAAGCCAAAGGGGCCATTAGAAGCTGCAGAAGGGTGGGTGTTGTACGTGGTGGGGTCGCTGATGCGGGATGAACCATATCTATGTGTATATGTTTATTATGTATTTATGAATGCGTGCTTTCACGTATGTATGTGTGTATATGTGCACATATTACATATAAATATATATACGTATACATGCATATATTCATATGGATATATATATATATATATATATATATGTATGCCTATACATGTATGTATACATTTTCATGCATGTACACACACACATATATATGTATATATGTGTATATGTACGTGCATCGACTAGACTGCCTGTTGTCTGGATGTGTGTTCGTCTCTGCTGGGATGTCTCAGCAGCAGCCTCTGCAAGAGGTCGCTGGGGAAGGGTTGCATGCAGCCGAAGAGCCTCAACTGCTGCAGATTCCTACATCGTGGAATTATGGTGCTTCCTTTGGCATGGAGGCGCTGCATTGGCTTGCGCAGGGAGATGCGTTGCAGCTTCTTTCGCAGCAAAGAGGATTGGTCTCCAAGGCGGAGATGTATGCGTTGACAGAGGCGGCTGCCGCTGTCATTAGGCGCAACAACAACAACCCCACCTACAACGACAGCAGCAGCCCCCAACATGGTTCCAAGTGCTGCTGCTGTTGCGAGTGTAACGCAACGGGAAAGCGCAAGGCTGAAGACGGCAGCTGCATGTGTTGGTTATCGACTGCCCACCACGGGAGGGAGAAGGCAGATTTTTTGCTTCAGAGAAAAAAGGATGAGAAGCTTTGTGCTGCAGGAGCATCTGAAGACATGTTGCCGCCACTGGGTGCAAAGGGCAGCAGGGGGGGGAAGTCGTCGCACCAGCAGCAACAACAGCAACAACAACAACAGCAACAACAACAGCAACAACACGAGGATTCGCTGCAGCGGCTCTTGCAGCAGTTGCAAGAGGAGCATCATGTTTGGGCTGCCCCTGTGGCTTCCTTCGGCGATTATTGGGAGTTTCTTCACAATCCTGAAGCAGTTCAAACTGTGCCTTGCTGCGCAGCTCATGATAATGCTGCAGCAGCAGGAGGAGGGCATGCTCCTGACGAGGCGGCATGCAGCTGTCTGAGCAGCGACGGTATCCGCAGGAGGATTCCGCACTGCGTACGGCGTGTCAACATGATATCTACATCGCAGCTGCCTTCTTCCGTCAGCAGCGGTATGCATGCAGAGGGGGGGGGGGGCAGTTGCTTCTCTTCGGCAGCAAGTGCAGAAGCAGCTGCTGCTGCAGTCGGCGTGGTAGGAGGCTGCCCCTCCCCCGTGTCTCCTGACCAAGAAGCAGCTGATTCGATGCTGCGCACTTGGGAGCAGCGTCACTGTCGCAGACTAGACATGGGAGCTAAGCAGCAGCAGCAGCAGCAGCAACAGCAGCAGCAGCAGCAGCAGCAGCAGCAGCAGCAACAGCAGCAGCAACATGGACTCCCGCAGCTCCCCCTGCCGCATTCGGGTGTCTTGAGTTACTTGCCTCCCCTCTGCAACTGCAGCAACCACAACTATTTCAAGCTGTGGCAGGAAGAGCAGCAGCGGCAAAGAAAGCGAGAGCGGCTTTCGGTGGAGGGGGTGCACAGTAGTGCAGAAGGGAAGGTCGCTTTCAGCAGCAGCGACGCTGTTGCTGCTGCTGCTAATTCTGATTCTGTTGCTGCTGCTGCTGTCAATTCTGACTCTGTTGCTGCTGCTGAGGGCGCTGGAGCGTCCGCTAGAAGCAGCAACTCTAGCAGCAGCAACTCTAGCAGCAGCGGCAACTCTAGCAGCAGCGGCTCTAGCAGCAGCGTTTCTGAAGCGGAGGAGGCGCTGCCAACTACATGCAAAACGCGGAGCTGCGATGGTCTCTTGTTTTTACCGTTTTCTCTTTTGGAAGTGCCTCTATGCAGGGGACTGGATACACTAGGCGCGTTGGTGCGGGGTGTTCATGAGGAGACACTGCCTTTTCCTGAGCAGACAGAGCTGTATCTTGGAGCGTTGCGCAGCACGGCGATTATTGCATGCAGAGACAAGCAGCACGAGAGGGGAGTGTGGAAGGCGCTGAAGGATAGGGGTCTTACGAGGGGTGCAGCCGTCTTTGACGTTCACTGCGAAGGCTTCACGGCGTTTCAGAAGGCGGCAACTTCTAGAGGCGACAGAGCTGCTGCTGCGAGTGTTGCTCCGCCTTTCGCCGATTCGCATTCGAGTCAAGAAGACGCGGAACGCGCTGCTGCAGCTGGACGCGATGACTCTTTGCTGCAGGAGCTTCTGCAGAAGCTGCAGCAGCAGGAAGCGTCTGGGAGACAGCCTCTGGGAGCTGGCGCGAACGGCAGCAGCAGCTGCGCTGGCAACAGCGGGAAGAGCAGCGCAAGCAGCAGCAGCAGCAGCAGCAACAGTGGCGGGGGGGGGAGCAACAGGCGCAGCAGCAGCAGCAGCACCTTCCCCGAGGGAGCTCCTCCCTTCTCGATCACCCGCCGTCCGTACAGTGCAAAGCTGCGCGCAGTGGGGAAGCTCAGGCAACGACGCCAAGTAGGTGCGTCGAAGGCACTGCAGCAGCAGCAGCCTCGGGGAGCGGAAGAAGCGCCGTGCTCCAGCAGCTGTGAATCGCGCGTCTCAGAATCTGAGGCAGAGGATGATCCAAGAGTCGCGCTCCTGGAGGCTGCTGCAGAGTTCTTAGGACTGAGGCGTGACGGCAAGCAGCAGAGCGGCATGTCGAGAAGCTGCGACGACGACAAGTGCAGGCGCATGCTTCGGGAACCTCTGACGGAGGAGGGGGTGTTGCAACTCGCGCAAGATCTCCTGGCGCCTATTAGCCGAGGCAGCCGCGAAAAGGTCACCGATCTCTGCAGAAGGCGCTCCCTCTCCCAAGAAAAAGGCTGCCGCTATGGGAGCTGCAAAGACAGCCGGCAAGCCGCCCTAGTCCTCTCCACGGAGCCGCTCATCACCAAATACAAAAAAGCGAGAAGTCTCGTCTGGGGGCGGGAGGAGGAAGCGGAGCTGCAACGTTTGACGCAGTTGCAGCAGCTAAGGCAGCCGCATTCGTGAGCAGGAGGCGACAAGGCTCCCTGCAACAGTGGAGCAGTGCGCCGTTGCTCTTCTTGTTGCTGCTGTCTCGCCGCTGCTCTTGCTGCACGGCATGAATAGTTGGGAAGAGGGGGAAAAGAGGAGGCTCTGCCCAGTGTTGATCTCGCTGTAGGAAGCGACGCGTAAAGGCTGCTGCCTCGTGGGTGGCAGTCGGAGTTGCAGGTGTAAAATGCGCTCGTGCCATGGGCTGTCCACTTGCGCGCAGTACATACTTCGCATCTATTCTACATTCATGACTTTTCTTTCTTTATCTCTCCAAAACACTGTCTCCAATAGCCAAGTTATACGCGGATGCGCCCTTCCTAAACAAATCCCCCAATTATTCAGTACAAGTATTCGGCAGCAGACGTGGTGGGGAGGAGGGGGAGGGGGAGGGGAGTATTCTGCAGTCCGTCTCGTTCTGAGAGGCTGACTAGGCGATTTTCCTGCGTAAAAGTCGCTCTTTCGTTGAAGCGACGGCAGCAGGCAGACCGCAGGCGTAAGACAGGGAGCCTGCGGCATGTGTCTTGCGAGGAGACTGCAGTGCCTGCGTTCCCTCTATTATGGAGGCACGTTCGCCAGATTACCAACTTCCATTCGTCTGTAGCCTCGACTGCCAAGCAAATACGGCTCCTGCCAACAAGTTCGAAGGAAGGCTCTTCGAAACAGCACATCGTGCCGCTAGGTGACAGTCATTACTACCTGCATAGCAATACGAACGGCTAGATCGGCTGCCGAGGGGTGGCTAACTAGCTAGCTAGCCAGCTAGCTAGGGAGGGAGGGCGGTGGAGTCTTTTGGCCACCCACGCGTCTCCCATCCACAACAGGACGCTTACACGAAAGCGTTCCCTAAAGAAGTGTGTGTTTCCCTTGCTACGGTTGTTGGTGTGACAGCAGAGAAAAGATATTCGCGACAGACACCACACTCGCAAAAGAAAGAAGGGCCCTCGTGTTTTTTCTCCCCTTTTCTTATTCTCCCTCTTTTTTGTTCTCCCTCTTTTTTTGTTCTCCCTCTATTTCTTTTACCCTGGTTCTCTCTGCCTTTCTCTCTCTCTCTCTCTATTCAGGAGGCAGCATTTTATGTCTCCTCATGGCGTCTTCCAGTTCCGAGAGACTCAAGCGTTCGCCTACAACGAGACAGCCACGGAGAGAGAGTGTGAAGACGAAACGCTAGAGGGAGGAGCCGTGGATTTGCTGTCACTGCCGCAGGGGGAGAGCAAGGCGAGGAATGTCGTCGTGGGGTGGAAGAGAGATGTCTAGCGAAATATTGCGGAGGCGAGCTACACAGGGAGCGAAACTTATAGCGCCTTACCTCCAACTTCGTCAAGCCCAACGATTGAATGTTGCGTCTGGCTATCTCGCACGAGTACTGCCTGCGGGAGGCAACCCAAGTTCAGAGCATGTTTTGCATGCAGCGTCTGGGGAGAAGAAAAGGGAACATGAAACTACGTCGAATTTGCTGCATATCCACCCTAAAGACGTAACAGCTTACCGTCGGCAGACACCAGATCTTCAGGCCTGATGCAACACACACCCTCGGCATATATAGCTACATATATATATATATATGTATATATGTATCGAGAACACCGTTGGTAGCTCCCCTCCCTCCCTCCTTCCTTCCCCCTTTTTAGGTTGCCTCGCATCGAGAGATAGCTGCCTCTCTAGTCTTTCGTGCTACGCAGACGGCAGCAGCACACCTTCCAGCGAGCGGAGACGCGAGAAAGGCAATTAAAGAGAGAGTCTCTGGAAGCGTCTGCGCAGCACCGAGGCGTTTCTCCCTCCCTTTCTCCAACAGATACTTTTCTAGAGTCTCTAGGTACACGGAAGTGGCAGCTCACGATCCGTGAGGAAAGGGGCCTTCTCCGCGTTGATAGCGCAAACTCTGATGGACAGATGTTTGCGACTGAAGTCTCGCCACAGAGCCAACACCTGTTCGTGCAGCTTAAAAGAGGGCCGGTAAAATAGCAACACCTATGCGCACAGCGAACAGCGGCATCCCTCCTACACAGCCGCGTTTTGCGGGGGCAAGACGCCTGCACGCCTCTAAGACGGGAGAGAGCAGTCTCGTGTGTGACAGACTGAGAGACGGGCAGTGCTACTCGACGACGATAACAACAACTAGAACACTGCAGCACATGCACGTGGAGAGGGGCTGGTTCGGCGTGGGGTGGTTCGGAAGGCGTACGACAAGCTTAGTCTTCTTAGCCAGCGAAAAAAACTCCTTTTCGTCATGGAGCTCAGTAACAGTCCCGTGACCATCCTGTAGGTGTTGCATCTGCTCCTGCATTTGCTTCCTCCTTTGCTGCCGAAGTCGCTCTAATTCCTCGTCATCAAAATCGCGTGGGTGCTGTTGTTGCTGCCGATGCTGCTCTTCAATGGCTGCATCGAGGGCAGCCTCCTTTTCCTGGAGAGCCCGCAGCACTTGTTCCTCCACCTTCTTCTCTATCAGAGAAGTGCCGGACTGCCTGTTGGTGGCCATTGCTCAAACGTGGCGAAACTTTTTAAAAAAAAGAAACTGAGTGCGTTGAGAGCTTTGCCACAGTGCCTTTTTGCAGAGGCCGTCTGTATATGCCCCTGAACAGAGTCTATCGGTTTCTAAGACCGATGGGCTGCTTCTGTGCGTGTGTCTATGTGTGCGCGTGCTGCTTGACGGTGAGACTCCGCAAGTTGCGTCTGCAGGTGCCACTGCGCCTTCTGCCGCCGATGCGGTGTCTTCTCGGGAAGCCCAAGAGACACACAGAGACACAAACACGGGTATACGAGTCCGCGCACACACACAGACAGACACAGACACAGACGCTCTCTCTCTCCCACTCACTAAATGCAGGTAGGAAGAAGCAGGGAGGACGGGCAAGGAGGAGTGGCACCTAGGCGCGCCGCTTTTGAGTTTGTGATGAGCAGAAATAAATATTTCCCTGTTATTTTGATACTCGCAAGATTTTTGTGGAACACAAGGAGTCCTTTTTCTGCACCTGCGCGCGCAGTTGCAGCTTTGTGGTGGTTGTACACTGCAGCGAGCCGCAAGGGCGCCAGAACGCCACCGATGACACCGCACGAGCGCTTTCTCTCTCTAAGGATTGCAATTGCTACAGATCAACCATTTAGACATGCAGGACGCTCCTGTGTCTTCCCAAATTGACATTGGAGGCCGCTGCCGCTTGAGCAGCAGCAGCAGCAGCAGCAGCAGCAGCCACGCTGCATGCAACACGGCGCAGAGCAAAAGCGGCAGCCCCCCTGCTTGGGAGCTCGTCGGAAAGTCAGCGCAGCCACGGATGGCGAGGGCGCGTGCATGCATGCAGCAGAAAAACAGTTTCTTTGGCATTGATCGCTGCAGGAGAGTCTCTGGTCAAGGGAAACGCGACCTCTTCCAGCCGCAGCCGCAGCAACTGCCCTGAATCGCGCCTGTTTAGCGCAGCAACTCCCCCAATACCTCAAAGGCTCTTCGTTTCAGGAGCTTCGCGTGCATGAGCGCTCTGATTCTCGCAGGATCGTCGCTGCTGCTGCTGCTCTCTCAGGTGAGAGGCGTGTTTACGCATCCCCCACGAGAGCCATCCGCAGTTATCTCTGGCGCCGAGGGGGCCCACTCCCGCTTACGGCTGTCTGGCCGTTATCACAGCGTTAGGGGAGAAGAGGCTGTTGCTGTTGCAGCAGCGCATGCGCTGCTGCTGCTGCTGCTGCTCAAGCGCATGAAGGTTGAACGGCGACCTAGAGAATTCTCAGTAGCCTTAGGAGCAGAAAGAGGGCGGGATTTATATATATCTACAAATATATGTATACATATATATATAAAGAAGGGCTTTTTTCCCTCTCTCTCTCTCTGCTATTGCCGCTGCCTGCTGCTGCGTCTTTGTTTCTCTCCCTGTTTGTCTGTCTTCCTTCCTTCCCACCACGCAGCATCCCCCAACACAGCAGGGAGGGGCACTGTGTAGCTGCTACCCCCTCCACACAGTGCACTCCCTGCTCCCCCCCAAGCAAGCTCCCTACGGCTGTGCAGTGTATTCGTCTTGCGCGATGCCAGGCTCATGCGAAAGGGGAGAAGGGCGGAGGGAAGGGTCGAGGGGAGGCTTTTCTCATTGATTTGCTGCCTTTTAGGGACGAACGGGGGGGGAGGGGGGAAGGGAACTGCATAGACAAGCCGAATTTGAGGCTTCTCGCGTTGAGCGCCCATTCCGAGAGGCGTTGAGGAGTCTTCTGTTTTTTCTCTCGCCAGCTGTCTCTCGGAGAATGGCTCGCGCTGCCTGAAGACGCATGCGCATGCGCATGCGCATGCGTCTTCAGGCGCTGAACATGAGCGACACTTGCCTCTTCCGCTTTCCCTGTTTCTCTTGCTGATACAAGGGCTTCGTCCGTGCATGCGTATGTATGTGTCTATTTCCTCTGGCACCGTGAATCCTCCTCAACAGCGCAGCGGAATGCACTCCTAGTTAAAACTTCCTGCAGGTTTTGCCTGCGTCTGAGCTGCAGGATGTCGTTGGTGTGCGCGATTACTGGAGAGGTGCCAGAGGAGGCTGTCTTCTGCCCCACAACAAATTTAATTTATGAAAAGCGCCTCATTCAAAAACACCTCGCCGCAAATGGCAAATGCCCAGTCACCGGCCTGCAACTGCAAACGCAGGATCTCATCGAAATCAAAAGTATTCTTATTGCACTGCAGTCTGCTGTTGTTTGCTGTCTGCTGTTGTTTGCTGTTGTTTTTGCTGTTGTTTTTGTTGTTGTTTGCTGTTGTTGTTTGCTGTTGTTGTTTGCTGTTGTTTTTTTGCTGTTGTTTTGTTGTTGTTTTTTTGCTGTTGTTTATTGCTGTTTGCTGTTGTTTATTGCTGTTTATTGTTGTTTGCTGTTGTTTGTTATTGTTTGTTGTTGTTTATTGTTTCTTGCTGTCGTTTGCTCTTTGCTGTTGTTTTTTTGCTGTTGTTTGTCGTTGTTTGCTGTTGTTTGTTGTTGTTTATTGTTGTTTGCTGTTGTTTTTGTTGGTGTTTGCTGTTGTTTTTGTTGTTGTTTGCTGTTGTTTTTTTGCTGTTGTTTTTGTTGTTTTTCTGCTGTTGTTTTTTTGCTGTTGTTTATTGTTGTTTATTGTTGTTTATTGTTGTTTGCTGTTGTTTGCTGTTGTTTGCTGTTGTTTATTGTTTGCTGTTGTTTGCTGTTGTTTGTTGTTGTTTGCTGTTGTTTTTGTTGTTGTTTGCTGTCGTTTTTTTGCTGTTGCTTTTTGCTGTTGTTTGCTATTAGCTGCCTCAGTTTTTTCCGTGCGAGTTTTATTGCCGGGCGAAGGAGATCCTTGACACTGCCACCGTTTCTGGTGCTGCTACTGTTGCTGTTGCTGCTATTCTTGCTGTTGTTTTTGCTGCAGCAAATCCGACAATTAAGCCTCGACCTCTCTCTGCGTCCTCTATCCCTGGTCTCTTAAGCTGTCTCCAAACGGAATGGGATGCTCTCATGTCTGAGGCTTTCTCTCTCAAGACACATCTCGAGCAGGTTTGCTATTGTTGTAGCTGGTGTTGTTCATGCAGTCTTTGTTGTTGTTGATGTAGCTCCTGTTGTAGCTGCTCTTGTTGGTGCAGTTCCCCTCTTGTTGTAGCTGCTCTTGTTGGTGCAGTTCCCCTCTTGTTGTGGCTTCTCTTGTTCATGCTGCTCCCCTCTTGTTGTAGCTGCTCTTGTTCATGCTGCTCCCCTCTTGTTGTGGCTTCTCTTGTTCATGCTGCTCCCCTCTTGTTGTAGCTGCTCTTGTTCATGCTGCTCCCCTCTTGTTGTAGCTGCTCTTGTTGGTGCAGTTCCCCTCTTGTTGTAGCTGCTCTTGATGATGCAGTTCCCCTCTTGTTGTAGCTGCTCTTGTTGGTGCAGTTCCCCTCTTGTTGTAGCTGCTCTTGTTGGTGCAGTTCCCCTCTTGTTGTAGCTGCTCTTGTTGGTGCAGTTCCCCTCTTGTTGTAGCTTCTCTTGTTCATGCTGCTCCCCTCTTGTTGTAGCAGCGCGCTGTCTTAGAGCATGTTATGCATGGGGGAACTTTCTCTCTGTCTCTGTATGTGTTCATGTGTGTGTGTGCGATGGTTGGTGGTGTCTTGCCACAGGTCAGGAAGCAGCTGGCGCATGCTCTGTATCAACAAGATGCGGCAACGCGTGTCATTGCAAGACTTTTGAAGGAGAGGGATGCAGCGCAGCAACAGCTGCAGCAGCAGCAGCAGCTTGTGCTGCAGCTGCAGCGCTCTGCCGCAGCTGCTGACGCTGCTGTAGATGCGGATATGGGTAGGCAGTCTAAGACCACGCTGTCTTGGTGTCTGTCTCTCTCTCTCTGTCTCTGAAAGAGGCTTTCTCCCCGATGCGTTTTCTTCTGTCGCCTATTAAATGGGTATACCGTGCTTGCAATCCCATAAGTGTATTTTGCATTCTCAAGCGGGAGGCTAGCCACGCAGTAGGCGTGCGAGACACGTATGCATTGGCTGTGGGGTGTTGCCTTTGAGAGCTTCTACTAAGAAGCATAGGGGGGTCTGTGGGGCGATGTGTGTGCAATTTGTGCGGGATGTATATATATATATATATAGGTAGATAGATATATATATATATATGTATATGTATATATATATGTATTTATGTATATGTATGTATACATGTATCTGTATATATATGTATCTGTATATATATGTATCTGTATATATGTGTATATGTATACATACATATATTATCTATATATATGTATATATATTATCTATATATATGTATATATATTATCTATATATATGTATAGATATTATCTATATATACATATATATATTATCTATATATATGTATATATATTATCTATATATACATATATATATATTATATATATATATGTATATATATATTATCTACATATATGTATATATATTATCTATATATACATATATATATATATATATATTATCTATATATATATATATATATTATCTACATATATGTATATATATTATCTATATATATGTATATATATTATCTATATATATGTATATATATTATCTATATATATGTATATATATTATCTATATATATGTATATATATTATCTATATGTATGTATATTATCTATATATATGTATATATATTATCTATATATATGTATATATATATATTATCTACATATATGTATATATATTATCTATATATATATGTATATATTTATTATCTATATATATATATATTATCTACATATATGTATGTATGTATATATCAGGAATAAAGGAGGAGCTTTTGGAAGAAATGCAAGCCTTGGCGCGGCAGCTGCTCACGCAGCGAAAGAAGAGGAAGCCAGTTGGCTTCTTTTCGCATGCGTCTCTCGCTTCTAAATTGAGCTGCTCATTGACTCTGCCTCTGCACTCCGCCTCAGCTCGTGGGGTTTTTCGTGTGACGGCAGACACCAATGCGGCTCGCCTTGCTGCCGTCTTCAGCGGCAACAGCAGCGGAGATGGGGGCAATTCTGCAAGGCATGGGGAGGCGCAGCTCAAGAAGGGCGAAGTTATTACCGTCTCGTCCGGTGCAGACGGTGCTATTGTCTTCTTTGACTTGCAGAAACAGAAGCAGCTCGAAAAGCTTCAGGCTCACGCGAAGCCTTGCAGAGACTTCCTGCTGCATTCGCAGGAGCCTGTCCTTGTCACCGCTTCCGATGACAAGACTTGCAAGTAAGAAGAGGCTTGGGGGCATGATTTTTTTGAAGCAAGAAAAGGGAAAGGAGACGGCGGAGGCGAGGGGAGATGGGGGTTCATCGTGTGTGACACCAGTTCTTGATACGCGCGATAAAAGCACAAGAAGGCTTGTCTTGAGTGGCTGCTGAATGCGAGAGAGGCTGTGCTTTTGGAGACGAGAAGACGCGAAATAACACGTCTTCTTCCGGGGGAGGGGAGAAAGCGCCGCTTTACGGCGCAAACCGGACAGGAAGGCAGAGAGAAAGAAAGAGAAAGATTTACACACCCACATACACACATACAGAGAGAGGAGACAGAAAAAGTAGCCTCTCTCTTCCTGTGGTTGTTGTGCTCCCCAGCAAGAAGGCTGGAGACAGCTTCGAAAGGAGACACATGCGAAACCTGCGTTACGTGTGCTGCCTTCGCTGCAGAATATGGCGTGGCTCTCTCGACTTCAGCAGCTCGTACAGCAATGCCGTTACCTTCAGGAGACAGCGTGGGGAGGTGTGTGCACTGGCGCTGCATCCGCTAGGAGACTACTTTGCCTCCGTAGCCTCCGACAGAACGTGGGCGTTCATCAATATTCAAGAAGGGCGGTACTTGAGGGTCCATAAAGACCTTGCTTGCCAGGTAAAAATTCTAAAAATCGATATTTTGCGAGCCTTTTTGTGCAATGGCGCCTTCCTGCATGCCTGCGTATATCGCCCCTTGCGGCTTCGCCGATTCCTTAGGCCGCTCTCTTTATGCCCTCTCTTGATCTGTCATGCATTCGTTTTCTTTACACGTGATGTAATTGTTTGTATTTCCATCTATATGTGTATATATATACATATATACATATACATATATATATCTGTCCACGTATCTATCAAGGGACCTTTCTAAAAGTGTCATTTGCGTGCCTACAAAAAATTTTTTTTCCATAGCTGAATCAACGTTCGCATTTGTTTAGATATGTGTAGAGATATATATGTATATGAGTACATAAATACTTACTAGATATCTCTGCGTAATATGCATGTTGGGCATGTCTGTATAGCTGCGGGGGGGGGGGTGGAGGGGACTCACACACACAACCTTCAGCTACTGCCTGTCGACGTCTGTGTGTCTCTCGTACGATGGCTGTGTCTGCAGCGTATTTGTGAAGTTTCGCTGTGTCTCGTTAATCTCTCCAGTATGCGTGTGTGTGTATGTCGTTTTCAAGAGGATGCTGCATGCTGTTTCCTAGGGTGTTGTTGTGTGTTGTTGCATGCGCATGCATGCGTCTTGGCTGCCTGCGGATGTTGGCTTCTGTGCGCTGCAGTACACTGCTGTCGGCTTCCATCCTGATGGAATGATTCTTGGTGCTGGTGGAGCAGATGGTAGCGTCTACATATGGGATATGAAGGCACAGGAGCAGCGAGCCGCGTTGCAGGGGCATCCTGCCAAGATCAGCAAGCTTGCTTTCTCTGAGAACGGCTACTATCTTGCGACAGCGAGCTTCGACGGCTCGGTAAGCCGCGCGGCTCCCACGTCCAGGAGCAGGAAGAAGGGAAGGGAAGGGAAGGGAAGAGGGGGAGGGAAAAAAACGGAGGAAAGAAATGTTTTTCCGAGTTGTGAGGTGCCCTCATCGCATCATGCGCTTCACGCTTTTAAGAAGCGAGGCTCTCTTTGGCATACTTGCATGCATGCGTGCTTGCCAGCGTAGACCTTCTTTAATATCTCTATATATGTACATAAATATATGTTAATATATACGAATATGTATACATATACATATATATGAATATAAATATATATAAATACATAAATGTACATGAATATATATGAATATTTATATATATTCATATTCATGTATATATGTATGTATATATAGGTATGTATTTATAGAACACGTGGACCGTCTTTAATATCTATGTCTGTATATATCTATATATGTACATAAATGTATATATATGAATAAGTATGTAATTACAGAATACGTGGACCGTCCTCAATATATATACATATATATATAGGTATGTATGTATTTATAGAACACGTTTGTCCATTGGTATGCGGTGCTTTGTTTGGATGTTCTCTTTAGGTTCGTTTATGGGATTTAAGGAAGTCGGCAGCCTTTCAGACATTGCAGATCGGCGCTGAGGGGACGAAGGACGCAGTGACGTCTGCTGTTTTCGATCATTCTGGGCTGTTTGTTGCCGCTTGCGTTTCTACGGGAGTTGTGCAGCTCTACAATTTTGAGAGCAGAGCACATGCGTCTTCAGTGGCATCCTTGCAAGGTCACACAGACGCCGTCATGGACTGCACGTGAGCGCTTGTTGCCACACCTTTGCAAAAAGAGCAGATAAACACTTCTTAAGCGGTGCTTTGCGCATGCTGCCTGCGGCAGGGGCGGCTTGTGGAATGGTGTGCGTGCTGTAGACTTCCCCAGAGAGAGGCACCGCGTCTGTCTCCCCTGCTAGTTTTTGTTCGATTTCTTGAATAGACTTAGATACACGTATTACAGTGGCAAAGCTTCGCGTGTGTATGGGTCTGTAGGTATATGTGTAGGGATGGGTATGTATATCAGTATGTATGTTGCATACGTATATGTATGTGTGTATGTTGTATTTGTGTATGTATGTGTGTGTATGTATATCTGTATGTTGTATATGTGTATGTGTATGTATATATATATGTACATAAATATATATATTTTATACATTTATTTGGCTGCGTGGGCACAGGTTCGTCGAGGGGCAGCAGATGCTCCTTACCGCGTCTATGGACAAAACTGTGAAGGTTTGGGAGCTGAAGCAAGATGCCTAAGTGAAGCAGATGGTGTGTCGTATGTGCGAAAGCATGCAGGCAGGCAGGCAGGCCCGCCTGCATGCATGCGTGCATGCACACTCTGGCGCTTTTTGCGCCCCCCTCTAGTGGTGGCATGCAAGATGTCTCTGCATGCATGCCGCCGCCTGCATGCAGAGACATCTTTGCATGCGTGTTGCACGATCACTGGGAAGAAGGTAGGAGCGCGATCACTCAGACTCAGCTTTGCCTGGCTCGGCTCGGCACAGAGACATCGAGAAGAGTTTAAACGCCACATTTTGCGCTGCAACGGTGCTGCTCGTATCTATGGGAAGGATAAGGGTGTGTGTGTGTCTCTACGGCGGGCAGCAGCAGCCTGCCGACGGCAGGTGACGTGCCAAAGCAACTTTTAGGGGTAGGTCTTGTCTCTCGCTGCGCATGCAGCAAGAGGACTGCTTCGTGGGATATACCCCCCTTCTGCAGCAGTAAGGAGGCCTTTAGCTTCTGAGCGCCTTACGGCAGTAGTAGGCGCAATTTTCGACATGCGCCTTTTTCCGCGCTGGCGCTTTGTTTCGAGGGGAATAATAGCCTGAAAGACATCAGGGTACGGGGGGTTGCGGTGCTCTCGTGGAGTCGTGTTTCTCGGGGTGGGTCAGGGAGGGAGAAATTCAGAGAGAGAGAGAGACAGAGCGGCCAGGAAGAGTAGCAGAGAGGTAGAGAGGAGGCTGACAGACAGACAACGGAAGGCGGCAAAGTTAGGGGAGTAGCAAGAATTGCGTGAGGGGAGAAACAGCTCCCGAATTGGTGCCCCGAAGAGGGGGTGTTGATAGAGGGTGGGGTGTTGATAAAGGGTGGGGTGGCGGCACAGGAGTCACGAAGACGAGTTGAGAAAGGGAGGGGGAGATTGAGAGACACAGTGCACTGCATCAAAGGCGCAACGCACTGAAATACTGACTAAATTATCTCAAAGGGCAGAGAGAGAGAGTGAAAGGAGGGCTTCTTGAAGGAAAGGCTAGGGAAAAGATGTCTGTAAATGTTGACACCGCGTCTCTGTGTCCACCTTAAACATATCGCTCATTTGAACCTCGCAGTGTTGACGGCTCCTTCGCTCTGGGCTAGGCTCAGAGATAAGTGTGATCAGGGATTCTTTCTCTCTGTTGCTTTCTGTCTGTGTGTGTGTGTCTGTCTGTCTGTGTCTGTCTGTCTGTGTCTGTGTGTCTGTCTGTGTGTGTGTCTGTGTGTGTGTGTGTGTCTGTCTGTCTGTCTGTGTGTGTGTGTGTCTGTCTGTCTGTGTGTCTGTTTGTGTGTTTGCCTTTGGCACGGCGTTCTTCTAAAACACACATGCTTTTGACTGCTGATGGCCTCTCTTACTCCCCTCACGTGGTGTGCATGCTTTACGTTGCATTAACTATAAACCACCTGGTCTTGGCTCCCCCCCTCCCACTGCACCCGTTTCCCTTTTTCGCTAAAATGAATTATTACTACGACTTGCTGCGCGCCGTAGAGTGTGCAAGAGTCAAAAATGATTTTGCGTGTAAGGAGTTTGCGAACACCGCGTTTTGCTGTTACACTTTATTGACGTCTTTTGGCTCGTTCTTGCGTGTCTGTGTATTCCTTCATGCCACATCTAAATGCCGAAGCGCCTTCAGTAAATTCATCCCTTATGAAGAGTAGAGGCCCCATGCGCGGAGCTAACAGCAGCGCTTCCCTTGCTGCATCGAGCTGCTGCTGATGAAGTGTCGGAGGCTTCTCCTGCTGCTGTTGCTGCTCCAGCTGTTGCTGCTCCAGCTGTTGCTGCTGCTGCGGCAGCAAGTAATCAAGCGACAGCAGATCTTCCACGATCCACTGCCACGCGGGAGGCTGCGCTGGCAGCAGAGACGCTGCCTGCAGCACTTGCACCGCAAACTCCGCTGCCGAGAGGTATCTGCTGCAGCTTGTGCTGCGAGGCTTGCAGCAGCTGCTGCCTTTGCAGCTGAGATGCGTGATAGCCTTGGCGTATTCTGCCTGCGCCTCGTCAAGCGATTCGCACATGCGATCTAGCTCCTGAACGGCCTCGAAGCGGCGAGAAGGCAATTGCAGCTGCTGCTGCTGATCCTGCTGCTTTCTAAGCGGCTCAGTCGGTAAGCCAGTGATGCTCTCTCTAAGCTCCTTCAATCGCTGCAGCAGCACCTCGCCAGCAGCGTGGCGTACAGACAGGAGAAGCACATAGCCAGTCTCTTCAACACCCCGAACAAGGCCCCACCTGCGCATGCAGCTAACTGCGGCAGAATACAGCGAGGAAACGCGGGAAGACGCGAAGCACAGGCTGCTCTCGCCGCTTCTCGCTTCTGCATCCGCGGCACTTCCTTCGCTGCTGTTGTTGCTGCTGTCGCTGCTGCTGTTGCTGCTGCTGCTGTTGTGAAGAGCGCGGTTAAGAGTCTCTTGTATGCGATGACGGACTGCAGCCGTGCAGCGCAGTCTGCGAGCCGCCACTAAGTCATATCTGTCTGTGGCTAGTTTTTCCGCATACGGAGTGCAGACAAGACCGCCCTTGGGGTGTACAGACACCACGAAGCGTCGCCCTTGCTGCTGCAGAAGGAAGGCGACTTCGTCAAAAGGCTGCGCCCTGCGCAGCCGCTGCATGCGGAGCGCGAGTGCGGCGAAGGGGGAGAGCGTCTTGAGATCTCGCCGCAGAAACAAGAGATCACCTGAATCCAGACTGCATTCGATGAAGTAGTCTGTTGCCCATCCCCAAAGCTTCCCGTAGAAGGATCCTGCTTGTGCAGCGTGTCTACCGGCGGCGTCCTCTGAACCTTCTGCAGATGCTCCTTCGAACTGACGCCGCAGCTCTGGCAGCTCGTGGTTCAGAATGCGACGTCTGCGGCACTCCCAGAAGATGCCATACGCAGAACAAGCACTCAAAAAGACTTTTGCAGCAATCCCCACGCCGCTGCTGCTGTGCCGCTCGCTGCTGCTGCTGCTTGCGCAAGCCTCAGGTCGATGTTGCTGCTGCGAGAAGGATCGCCGCTGCTCAGCCTGCGAAAGCAGCTGCAGCCTCCTCAATGAGGGACCCCTCTGCAGCCGAAGCGGCAGGAAGACGCGGCTGCACAACACCCCCCGCATTGCTGAGAGGCAGCTGCGATGTGCAGCTGCAGCCGTGGCAGATATCGGAGAGCTCCTGCATGCGCGGCTTCAAAAACTGCGCGGCATCCTCGCCAGTCTGCCTCTTCAGAATCCAGAAACAAAGTCCACACTCGCGTATCGCATGTGCACACTAAAGGATTGCCTACAAGTATATGTGCATGCCTACGCGTAAATGCATATGCGTAAATGCATGCATGCAGCAGTGATGCTGTCGAAAAAAGCAGCGGCGGCAGCGGCGAGAAGGGGGGCTGGGGCTGGGGGCCCCCCCCTCCCCCGCATGCAGTCAGAGAGAGGGGGGCCCCTCTTGAGTCTGCGGCGGGAATCTTCCTTTTCTACTGCCCTTCCGTGGCTGCTGCCTCTTCGATTTCCGACTTCGCGTTGTATTTATTTATGAATTGTTTTTCAGCAGCATAAACCAGAAGGTATTACTGCACAAAGCTTTCGATCGGCTCGACTCGAGGCAGCAGGAGCACACAAACCACCGCCAGAGAGGCCCCACACGGACAGACACTGCGCTGACGGCGGCTAATGCCTTGTTGAGACAAATTCAGCTTTCTGGAGGTTCTCTTCTTTCAGACACGTTCAGGCTTTAAAGGCTGCAGTTTGAGCAAGCAGGCAGAACCTCCCGAGCGCTTCGACAGTCTCCCTGCCGCACGGTACCGCCGCGGCTCCTTCTAAGCCTCTGCAGAGCAACGTGAAGGCATTTCATTTTTTCGAGCCATTGCAGCTTTTCTCGAGCCACTGCCGCAATACAATGACAGCCAACGCCCCCTTGGCCGTCGATATCGCCAGTCTGTAAGCGTTGGGGGATTCGAGAGGCGTCTTCTGCTTTAGCACTAACGCTGGAGGGGGGCGAGGAGAGGCTTCAGATGCCTTCCTTCCTCTAAACTTGCAGACAGACTTACAGACAAACACACAGCGAGGCAGATACACGGGCATGCAGACCGACAGGCAAATGCATGTACACACATTAATATGCAGATACAGATACAGATAAAAATTCGCAGACACCTCGAGACGAACCTTCCTTCAGAGGAATTCCTCGCACACCGCGTGGCTGCACGCGCTGCTTGTAGTAGCGTTCCAGCTGTGCCCGGTGCTTTTGCGCGAAATCAGATGCAGAGTGTCGTGCTGTGAGTTGGCTGCTGCTGTTGCAGCGGTCGAGTCCTTCCAGAGGCACCCACGGAAGCAGACGGATTGACGTATCATCTGCATCATCTCATCGCTACCGACATATCTCCTCTCGAGATTTCCACAGAGTAAGCATTTTCAAGGCAGGACCTTATGGCATGCAGGTGCCGCAGGAATTTTGGTTTTTGGTCGGGCTTGCGGCCCCTGGTGTATGTACGTCTCTGTGAGTGTGTGGATCTCGATTTTGTCTGTGTGTGTGTGTGTGTCTTTATGTATGTTGCAGTCTGGAGGAAAACACGCAGCGCTGTGCGGAGCTGTTCGTGCGGAAGCTCTTTTCTTTGCCGCGGGAGGCATCAGATGACGGCATTTTTGTCTACCTGCCCCCCCTACCCAAGATTGACACTCTGCGCTTTCCTCGAACTCTAAAGGTAGGTAGGAGGCACAGTGGAAGGGCTGGCCTTCTACTTGCGCAGATCGTGGCAGCAGCGGATTTTTCGCATATATATGTATATATATATACATATATACATATATATGTATATATATTATCGGTGAATCGCGTTTCCTTCAAATCGGGTATTCGTAGGCTGTCGGGCTGCATGCGTGTTGATGATATCGGCGCTTTAGCTCTCCTGAGGTCATGTTTAGGGCGTGCTGTAAGAATATCTGTCTGCCTGTCTAACTGTCGAGCTGCCTGCCTGTCTAGCTGGCTAGGTGCCTGCCTGCCTGTCTGCCTGCCTGCGCTGGAGGGTGTAAGAGTAGCTGCTTTTTCGAGCGGGGATGCCGCATTGTTGTGGAGTGAATACATGTATATAGATATATACATCTATGTATAATGTATTCTTCCACGTGCAGGCAGGAGGTGCTTTCGCCGACTCGTGGTGCTTCGCGTGATGCGCATGCGTGTGCTGCGGCTGCAGCTTCCGTCTTCGCGCCCGTTGACGCGTTGGGAAGCTTTTGCCAAGGCGAAAGGCATTGAAAAGCGGAAGCGATCTCGTCTGGTGTGGAGTGAAGAAGTGAAAGACTGGGTACCTCGTTGGGGACCACGTGGCCTTAAGGCTATTCAGAGACAGGCGCAGGGTGTGCTTGAGGAGAAAGGCGCCGTAACATTGCACAGCAGAACCGCCAAGACTAAGGATGCGTCAGCAGGGGCAGCCGCTGGGGGGAAGAAGCGGAAGCGGGTAGCCTCTGCGGATGCTGCTGCTGCTGCTGCTGCCGCGGGAGTGGTGGAAGACCCCTTCAAGAAGGAGAAACAGCAACGCGAGCTGCAAAAGGCGAAGCAGAAGTTGCGGGAAGTGCGGAACGCAGCGGAGGCTCAAGCAGGGAGGGGAGCCGCGCGAGCCGTCCTAAAGGGCGGCTCTGGCAGTGCACGTTTACCCCCTGGCGTGCCCTTGCTGTCTTCTACGCAAAAGAAGCACAGAAACAAGAGCAAAGAAGAACTCAAAGAACTGCTGCACCGGTGAGAGCCGTCGGGCGATCGATCCTCCTGTCTTTGTAGTGGCGTAATAGTAATAACAATAATAATAGTACTAGTATGATTATAATTATCATGAGGAAAAGACGCGAAAGGAGGAGGAGAAGGGAATGAAGGAGCCTGCACACTGGAGCACTGGGGGGCTAGCTGGCTGTGTTGTCTGACAGAGCAGCACGAAAAAAACTCCCCTACTTACACTTTCTTGATGCATGCATGCCGCATAAAAGGGCCGCTGGAGTTTGCTCCCTAGGCTGCTAAGCAAGCGCTTCCCGCTTTCGCGCTGCCCCTGCATGCTTGTGCCCTTCCCCTCCCCCTCCAAAAAGGCTCTGTTCTGTGGAGGGCCCCTCGGTCGGTGTTGCGCCTTGAGGCCTTTTCGTGTTGTGCCTTGAGGCCTTTTCGTGTTGTGCCTAAAGGGCCTTTTCGTGTTGTGCCTTAAGGGCCTTTTCGTGTTGCGCCTTGAGGGCCTTCTCGTGTTGTGCCTTGAGGCCTTTTCGTGTTGCGCCTTGAGGCCTTTTCGTGTTGCGCCTTGAGGCCTTTTCGTGTTGTGCCTTGAGGCCTTTTCGTGTTGTGCCTTAAGGGCCTTTTCGTGTTGTGCCTCGAGGCCTTTCGTGTTGTGCCTTGAGGCCTTTTCGTGTTGTGCCTTGAGGCCTTTTCGTGTTGTGCCTTGAGGCCTTTTCGTGTTGTGCCTAAAGGGCCTTTTCGTGTTGTGCCTTAAGGGCCTTTTCGTGTTGCGCCTTGAGGGCCTTCTCGTGTTGTGCCATGAGGGCCTTTTCGTGTTGTGCCATGAGGGCCTTTTCGTGTTGTGCCTTGAGGCCTTTTCGTGTTGTGCCTCGAGGCCTTTCGTGTTGTGCCTTGAGGCCTTTTCGTGTTGTGCCTTGAGGCCTTTTCGTGTTGTGCCTTGAGGCCTTTTCGTGTTGTGCCTAAAGGGCCTTTTCGTG